CATGTTCGGCAATTAAGAGAGGCAGGGTTTGCCATCGAAAAACGAAACGATAAATGCTAAAATGAGAGATGCCAGATGCAGACTCAGGGCGTCCTAATGATGGTTCGACTGCTAGTGGCTAACTGGTCGGCATACGGAATTCAGAAACCGGACTCGTACGTCCGTATTCGCATATGTCACCCTGCTATAATGATCTTGCAGCTGGAGGTCGTAACCTCTACACACCCACTGCACTATGGAATGATACATAATCCTTTGGTGCTTTAAGGCATCTCTGCTTTAAATTGCATTGTATTGTAATATAATATTTTATTATGCAGTTTCTAATTCAACACAATAATGCAAAATTTTCGCTCTTGATTTGTAAAATGAAAAATGGTTCGTTAATTTGAGCTAAAATATTATATTTCCCTTCCATGGTACACGGCTGACATTTGCATTCGAAACTGCCTTGTTACGTTATGAATACCAGAGTTTCGAGTGCCAGACGCTTTGACCCAGAGGAGCAGGTCAGTTGAAAAGCCTCCATGCAGCGCGATTTACGGCCAAATTAGCGGTCGAATGATGCACTTTGTGCCGCCGTTCTGGTTCTGGGTCTCGTTCTGTGCCTGACATGCTCATTGGACTGACAAGGGAGCGGCCGGACCGGACAAGGCCTCGCGGATATTAAGCCTTTGATTGATGGCCGCGAAATGTGGTAATAGTTTTCGGCCAGCTCCGTCCGACTGATCACACTAAATGGGGGGGTACATGGATGCATGGGTGCAACAGTGCGTGGCTTCAGTGTTTCAATTAGCCAGCCCCCATCCCCAGCCCCAGTCTTCTGCTATGCCTTTGCTTCTGGTGGCGAGGGCGGCTGCACAAAGGCATTCACATAAAGTGGTTACAAGTATGCGGCAATTAGCATTTAACGAGCACCACATGCCAGCCCCAATGGCATGACACGGACCAGGACAAGGCAGAGTCCTCAGACACTAGGGGACATAATAATATACACACAACTACAACAACACCCCCTGGCACAAACACTCACACACGCACACCGACAGGACCGACAGCTAAAGGGAACAATGTCATCGACAAAATACAAGGGCCTGTGGCAGTGTTGGGCAGAAAACTCTTTTGTTGTCCTAGTCAACAATTCGAGGACCCTCTCACCCCATCCTCACTTGGCTCGCTCTGCCACGCCCCTCGGGCGCCCACAAAAATCCTGATTACTTAACTAAATATGGCAGCTTATGGTGGGACACGGCCAGTGGCCAGTGGCACTAAACTCTCTGATTTACACGATTTGCATACGCCGAACCACGGGAAAGGGAGAACAGCGACAATTCACTCGGAGTGCGAGGCTTTAATTAGCCGGGCTGAAAGCAGTTGCGGGGCTTTGGTTTTATCAGTTAGCAGCTGTCCACCTGACCCGGACTCAGGCCCGGAGAATAGCTAATGAAGTCTGGGACAATGGCCAGCACTCGGGGGTGGACGCTTGACGTTAGCATTAAAGGAGTTTGCTAAAGTTTTCCGGGAAAGCGACAGTCATTATGTCATATTTCTTCACAAGCCCTAACTAGACAAAGAATTGGCACAAATTACTCGGCATGAACTCGTTTTCATGAATTCAGTCTAGCAGCATTGATTTGTGTCAACAGAGCACTTTTGAAGCAATATTTTCGCTCTCAATTAAACCAATATATATCAATTTGAAAATTATTCATCTTGAATGCCCAATTCAATTCTGCCTTTTGAGAAAATATATATAATTTAGTGAAAGTAAAAATCAGTGCCTTCCTAATTGAGTTTTCCGTTTCCGAGAAAGAAACAACTTTCTTTGCACTCTATTTCGGGGCTTTTCGCCAAAAGAGTTCATTAGCATGTCGCGTCTTCAATAATAACTCAAGGCAAAGACAGGCCAAGGCCCAGGGATCTATTGTCTTATCAGCAAACTCTTATCTGGGATACATAAATTCTTGCCTCGACCTGACGGCGGGAAAGTTTCTTTTGGTTTTCGTTGGCAGACGAGCAGTAGGGCCTAGCGGTGGTGTGTGGCGTCTACATAGCTGGGAATTGGGTGTGGGGCGCTAATTAAGACACGCAAAGTGCGGCGCTAAGACAAATGGTTCTGTGGCACGTAAGCGGCGCGTCAATCTTGGCCAGAGGCCTCCGCCACCATCCGCCTCGCCCGTGTATTCCAAATGAATTCCCGGCCGCAGGCTCAGACATTTTTCTCAGACTTCGGACATGTTTGGTTCTTTCAAAAGTTTCCCGCCACCGTCGATCTGACGCCTCGTAAAAAATGTCAATGAAGTGATTTATAAAAGCGAAGGCCCTCCCACAGCAAATATGCTAATGTGCTGTGCTTAATGAAAATGCTATGTTGGCTCAAAGTTTGCATTTGGCTGATTGTATTCATTTGGGCTGGTCATCTGGTCAGCGGCTTATTAGCCAGCCTATAATCTCGAGCTCGAGCATAATGTCTTCATTCTTGGTGTTCGACTTGCTTGGCTTTCGCGTGCCCGAGGTTGCACATTAAATTTTAATGCCATATTTTATGCTGCCAGAATTTACATAAATTTATTGTTCGAGTGCGACTGTGAGTGTGTTTGTGTGTGGGAGGACTAATCAAATCAAAAGAGTGACGGGCCCCAGGCTCTGTTCCTTTCAACTTTTTTCCTTTTTCCTTGAATTTCTAAACAGACATGCAAACTTGCCCGGCTTGAAACTGAGGAAGTAAGGGCCCTCCCACACTTACAGTTTGGCAATCACTCATGTATGTGTATGCTTACCTGTGGTTGGAAAAATAGCAGGCCACATTGCGCATACGACGCGTTGCCTGGCAGAGGGCCAGCGCACCGAACAACAACAGAAATGCAGGTCACAACAATAACAACCACAAAAACAATAAAGGGGAGAAAAGCTCTTCGAGTTTCCATTGTTGTTATTCCTTGGTATTTTTCAGTTTTTTTTTTTTTTAGTTACAGCCAACGGAAGGCGTTCCAAGGAAGGCGCATGTATAATTAGAGCTATGAAGCATGTCCGGTGAAGTTTGGCATTTAAATGTTTCACCAACAATAACAGCCCTGCAACAGAGGTAGCCAGATCGCCATTTTGCTATTGCCAAGTTTTGAAAATTGGGCAGAGTCCAGGAAAGCACAAAAGCAAGGGGGTTAAAAACCCTTGGTCTGGTATCCAAACTCGCTTTGTTGGTGCCCAGATATATTTTATAATGCCACAAACATGCCCGACTCTAGCCCTATACATAGAGACTTTGTGTGCATTTAGTTAAGTTTACGTACTGCGCCTCCGCATGCAAACAGGACACGAAGGATACCCCTGAACCGGCTTCAGTAGCGACCCAAGCCGAATCCTCTTGCCCCCAGAGAGAACCAGGAAGTGAGTGTGTGTGTGCGAGCAACTTTATCTTTTGATTTATACAATAATAAACACAAATGTGCACAAAAGTTCTTTGTACTTTGTTCTTTGGCCTTGCCAAGCATCAGAGTTCTGAAAGTTAAATCGGAAAATGTTTACATGAGCAGTTAACTCCTGCTAATTGCTACTCCTGTCAAAAGATGTCCTCTTTCTCTTGGCAGCTTATTACGGCCGATTATTAAGAAGGGAGCAGTTTCTTTAAATATACACTGTGGGTCAATAGTGCCAAACGATTCCTTCCTTTAAAGAGGCCACCCGCTGCGATATGGAGGACGTCTGGATCGATTTTCAATTGCGGGCAACTGGAGACGGGGAATTCAATGAATTGTAAGTGGCTGGGCCCACCCACGAAAGTGTGCCTTACCCCATTAAATGCAAGCAACGGCAATCGAACACGCAAACCCTTCGCCCAGTCACAAAACGTTAATGCAACTGAGCCGCCTACCCAAACGGAGCTGGAGTTACAATCCAACTTACATTTCAGTGATGGGAAAGGTACTAAAAGGATTTTACAGGGGCACCGAAAGGGCACTGGAGAGAAAAAGTATACAAATTTGATTAAATTAAAGTGTATTGCCCCTTGTAAATAAAGCTTTTTAATTGCTGCCCCCGGGGAAACTAAATAAAGTTGACCAATCAACTTAAAGGACGTAGCTTTTTAAGTTTTAGTAAGAACTTCTGTGAGGTATTAGACATGGTACTTCTTTCTGCCATCACTGGTGCAACGCCACGATGTGGCAGTGGTGCAAATGTGGTGCACATTAAGCTTAACACTGCCGATTCGCCACTTTAAGGCGCTGCATGTAATGGCTGCCAACTCGTTCGACATTCGGCGGAGGTGCCGCGTAATAATGTTAAATGTCAGGTGCATTGCAGCTGCTGTCCCTCCCGGAATCGGTGTGGAAGTTGCCCCGGCAGTGGCGGTGCTTGTGATGGTGATGGTGTCGGGGAAAATGGAAATGAAAGTCGGAGAAGTCGAAGCGCACCAGCAGGTAATTAAGTTGCCTGGGAGCCGCGTAACTGCCATAAAATATGCGCAGTGGGAATTCGAATTCGGATCCGGATCCAGATCGGTTTGTCGGCCCGCCAGACACTCATTGCATCGGGTTGCAGGTTGCAGGTTGGAGTTGCAGTGCCAGTTATAGGTGCACCTCGCAGGGCAGCACGTAGTTTATAGCATCGGGCTAAGCGAAAACGACACGAGCCAAGAAGTTCCTCGTTTGTTTTCCAGCCTTAAATTTCCAAGGGGCATGCAACCGGAGAGTGACGCGGCAGGCGCAACTTAGACGGGGGCCCAAAGCCGGAAGTGGGGGTGTACGTAGATAAATGTCTTACTCAGTCAGGTGCAGTCAGGAACTAACTTCGGGCTGACCCGTAAAAATTTTAAAAGGTACTCTGTTAGAGGAATGAACTTCTTTTCAGGCTAGTAATTTATTTTTATGCTAAACACGAATTAAAGTCCGCCGCTAGGCTAATTTTTTTTCAAACTCACAGACAGTTAACTGAGGTATTAAGCTTTGACTCGGCTTTCATATCCAGTTGGAACATAATCGTTATTGTGCCAAAAAATTACATTTTTGATCTTTATATGCATTTAATTATTTGAGTTGAGACTTTCACTTAAAATTACTAATAACCAAATATAAACTATTTAAATTCCAAAATAAATAAAAGTAAAAACTAATCATTATTAACTTATGCTGTGTTAGACGATACAGCTAAAATCGTTGGCCGATCGAGGTTACTGGGATCCTTCTCGCTAACATCAGTCTGCTGGGTCGCAATGGAAGGAGAAGCTTCTTTACTGAGACCAGTTTTTTTAGTTGGCGACCTCAGGAAATATTCCAATCCACCAAAAGGCGCTTCTATGATAAGGTACAGGATAACGGCCATGATAATGGTGATACCCAGGTCTGACCAGAATCTTAGCATCTGTAAATACAAACTTTGTATAAAAACATAAATCATTTAAATGAGAATATATAACCTACCACTTGGTAATCGGTGAAATAAGTATTGGTTCTGGTGCTTCTGTTATTAACTTCCTGGACAAACATATGCCAAATGTAGACTGAGTAGGAGATCCTGGAGAGGGGCTGCCATACGGGCGAGGAAAGGAAGCTATTGGCCATGCCTCCATATCCCTGCATACAGGCAAAAACGACCCAACAGAGTGTCAAAGGCCAGGCAATTCGGGTGAGAGTATAGTAAGAAGCATCTGCCACGAGGGGCAATGGTTCAGCGTCCCACTTTCCAGCGGGGTAGAGAGCGAAAATCGAGGTGAAGATCAGGGCCAGGCAAAGAACCCATCCTGACCACACGGCCACCTTACTTAGCTGGAACTTCCTGCCTCGATTCAAATGTAGGAAGTAGCCGAACAAAAATCCAATTAGCCATGGAGCAGCGTGTGTGTGGGTGGCAAAATAAAGCTTTTTTGATGCTTCTGTACTAGTATACCTAAATGTACAAAGAATTATTAAAAAATTTCCAATCAATATGCTTACTCTTTGTGCTAACCTGAGCAACATATGATAGTCGTTGACAATTTGGGTGGCAAAGAGACAACCTGAGAACAGGATCATAAGTACGAAAATACCGCCAGCAGCCTTCTTGCCCCATTTGTAAAGTGCGATAAGTAGGATGGGCGAGATTAAAAACAACTGCATATCTACCGCCAAATACCATGTCTGTCCTAGGCACTAATAAAAATTCAAGCTTATCTCCAAATTCTTAGAAATAATTAACGAATTTTACTTACGATTTCGTTGGTATAGTTCTGAACAAACAACAAGCTCCAGTACCATCCCTTTTCACACCCTTCGCGTCCAGAATAGCCGCCTTTAAAAAGAGGTCCACCGGAAACTATGGGCATAATCTTCACGTACACTAGAATGGCTATGGCCATAATAGGAACGATACGGATCAGGCGATGCAAGTACATCAAAGGCACATTTAGTTTTCCCTTAGTCCTTCAAAATAATATCATATTAAATATGCTTAGATCTTTTAAAAAAGCCCATGACTTACTTCTCCATTGATCGTAGGGATATCAAGGTCAACAACATTCCGCCCAGAAAGAAGAAAGAGTCCACAGAGAAAAATCCATGCAAAATAAAACTGGAAAATGGTTGCTCCATCCACTAAAATAATTTAAGTTTAATAAACAAGACATTTGTATTAAAGGAAATAATTACTTACAGTGAGTGCACTGGACATATTAATATTTGGTAGAATAGCAGAATAAATATAATCATGGCTATACACAACCCAGAAGAGTGACAGGCACCGAATTCCATGAAGACAATCGATAACGTTTGGGTTTGATTTTGAATCCACGATACGGAATATGACTCTGGCGTTTGCTCTGGCCGAAAACATCTTAACAAGTATGGGTAGCTGATCTAAAATGCAAAGATTGTTGTGAAGTAGTAGGAATATTAAGACTTTTTTTCTAACTTACTTTGATTTTCGCAAAGCAAATAGTCGTAAGTCGTGAACAGAAGCACGGCAGCAGCCATAACTGATAAAATAACTCTGTAATCGAAGGGTTAGTCAATAACTTTGATTATAAAAATGAATATATAACGCACATTGTGAAAATGGTGAGGCCATCGAGGGGTTCAACCTCATTTGTCTGGCAACCGCTATCGTTGATCTTCAGTGCGGTAGAAGGGATATTCAAGTTCAAAACCCTCTCCACAATCTGTGCGATAAACTGATTCATGTGAGACCCCGAACAGGATGAAGGGAAACACGTTGCTGTTTTTACTGACAACCTCCTGGCAACGCCAGTAGTTATTCCTAATATTTCTCCAGGCGAAACTGTAAGAAAACAGTACTTTCCATGGATTGTACTGCTCTGGATACCTTTGGCCTGGATGTTCACGCATTCGTCAAAGTTTCCCAAATCATAGAAGTTTCCAGTAAGTACACCCGAGGGAAGAAATCCCCAAGAGTCGATCACTATTTAAAAATCAACATATATATATATTTTTTTTAATTAAATAAAATGTTGCTCACTTACTTTTTAGAGCCCAGTATTGGCCAGTGCTTAGAGCCATCGAGAAATCAGCCAATTCCTGAAGGCACAAATAATCCTGCGCAGTTGGTGCACGAGGGTCGGGCAAAGACAAGTCCGTTATGGTGGCATTCCGGAAAAAATGTGCAAACTGAAGTCCCAGGGATCTGATCTGATCGATGCGTTGTAGGTCCTGCAGGACATCTTCGTTTTTTGGTTCAGCAGCGCCGATGAGGGCGAGCCCGCAGAGAAAAATGGCAACGAGTGTGTTGACCATGGTTACTAAAAATGTATTGACTGTATTCTTCCACTGGCCGAAGATTTTATACGCGAATCATCTCAAGATAAGCACCGTCTACCGATAATGTATTAAACAGCCTTCTGTAGAAGCCATACGGAGGGTTACAGCCGAACAAAGTTCTTTCCGATTAATAACAACGATAGTGCGTAATCTACCCCATTTGATTCAGCGGTAGTCTGCCAAAGATTGTCTTTGGATTCTTAGCGTTACTCACCTGGTTTTAAAAATACAATCATAATGATCGTACAAATTTCAAATCGATTTCGAGTAATTTGTACCGTATTGACAAATTTAGTGGGAATTGTTTTTATTCTACCTTAACAGTTCTGAAGAAATTATTCAAATCAGTGATAAGTTGATAAGAGGGGATTTCGTCAAGTGTTTCATTCTCAAGTGTTTCGGTCTCAAACCAAACAACGCGGCGCCTTAAGTAGAATCATCAAAGGTTTGAGTAATCGAGCGTTTATTGATTTGAACTCTATGATGTTTGTTTTTTTCCACACATTAATTGTAGCATTGGTTCATTGATTAATAAGCAGTTCATTATGAAGATGTTTCTTTAGGTTCTTTTTGGTGAAAATTAACAAAAAAGAAAGCATAGGATATACCCAAATTACAATAATTTTTAAATTATTTTCGACATCATGTACCAGATGTACATATGTATGTATCAGTGGTTTTTAGGGCTACTATGTATCTGAAAATAATGACCAGAAGAAGCATATCCAATTAAAGTAAAAACCCGAATGTTATACCTGCCCGATTTAAGATCAGTACCATCTATTTCTTCCAAAAGCTGGCCTTTTCTTTAATTTCTTAAATCACAATTTTAACCAAAAAATTAATAAAAAAAAAATATGTTGTTTAATAATTTATTTTTAATTTTAATATAGATTGAAGGTAATTGAAGCTCTGATTCGTAAATTCTACTTCCATTTCAAACCTTTTTAAAAACAACAAAACTATTTTCAAACACATTTTTTTTAAGTGTCTATCCTTTTTTTCTTACTATATAAAAATATTTTTAACCCATAATCTTAGAATGGTTAACAACACTTTTCGTCGCAAGTTTAGCCAGGGAATTTGTGATAAAATGACCAATATCTATCCTATCATCGAATTCTATGTCTTACCGATATTTTATCTTAAAGTAATTTTTATTTTCTTTATTTTGAAAAAAATTTACCCAAAATCTTAGTCCTACATGTATTTTTAAATTTGATTGTAGAATAAAGCAATTGGAGCTATGGTTGGAAAATCCTGTTCTCTCCTGAAAAAAAAAAAACAAAATATGTTTTGGCAAAAAATTTACTAAAAAATTTTAATTTTTCGCCCCATATTTTTAGCTTGCCAATGAGCTTTATCGCCTCCATTTATCGCGGTCTAAGATTTTTCAGTACTTTAATACGAAATCTGTCCAACTAAAACTGGGAAACTGAAAATTTCTCCACTTACAGCAGTTTAAAAAAATTTTCTTTTAAATATCACTAAACTCTTTATGATATAATGACTGGTTTAATTAGAAAATGCAAAGCTATATGTATATAGGAAACTGACCTTCAACTTAAGACGTTTTAAACTCCAGTTCTGTCTTAAATTAGCTTCCCTTTCCGGTTTTTAAGTATTCGTAGAACATAACGTAAAGCGATATATATAAATTTTCAATCAATGTTTTTACTTGGGTTGAGATCTACTCTTATAATTATTAACAATAAAATAAGCAATATACATAACAAATGAAAGAATGTACTAATCCCTTTTCATTCATGCTGCGTTAGACGGTTCAGCAGAAATTGGTGGCCCATCGAGGTTTCTGTTGTCTTCGGAAATTGGTGGTCCATTGATCTCACTGGACTCCTTATCGTCAACATTACCTTTTTGACTCTCATTTGCAGGAGTAGTCTCATTACTGACGCCAGATTTTTTCACTGGTCTCAGGAAGTACTCCACTCCACTGAAAGGTGCTTCTATGATTAGGTAAAAGAAAATAGCCATGGTAAGGGTCATACCCATGTCTGACCAGAACTTTAGCATCTGTGAATATAAGGTTTTATTAAGTAATGCACGTTAGTCATTTTTAAGGAAAGATAAAAACCTACCACTTGGTAATCGGAGAAATACGAATTGGTTCTGGTGTTTCGGTTATTGAGTTCCTGGACGAACACATGCCAAATGTAGGCAGAGTAGGAGATCCTAGAGAGGGGCTGCCACACAGGGGAGGAGAGGAAGCTGTTGGCCATGCCTCCATATCCCTGCATGCACGCGAACACTACCCAGCAAAGAGACAATGGCCAGGCAATGCGGGTGAGAGTGTAGTAAGAAGCATCAGCCACGAGGGGCAACGGCTCAGCGCCCTTCTTTGTAGCGGGGTAGAGAGCAAAAATCGAGGTGAAGATCAGGGCCAGGCTAACAATCCATCCTGACCAAACGACGAGCCTATTTAACTGGAACTTCTTGCCCCGAATCAAGTGCAGGAAGTAGCCAAACAAAAATCCAATAAGCCATGGAGCAGCATGAGTGTGAGTAGCAAAATAAAGCTTCTTAGACGCGGCTGTAGTCGTGTGCCTAAATAAGCCAAGAGTTAGTAAATTCATAGCTTTTCAATTAAAAACTTTTTCTGCTTACTTTGGCAACATTGAAAATTCGTTAACCATTTGCGTTGCAAAGAGGCAACCTGAGAGCAGGATCATAAGGACGAAAATGCCGCCAGCAGCCTTCTTGCCCCATTTGTAAAGTGCGATCAGCAGGATTGGCGAGATTATGAACAACTGCATATCTACAGCCAAATACCACGTGTGTCCCAGGCACTAATATAAATATAAAAGGATATATCAAAATCAATAGAAAAGTTAAGAACGTCTTCTACTTACGATTTCCTTAGTGTAGTTCTGAACAAATAACAAGCTCCAATACCAAGCATTTTCACACTCTTCGAGACCAGAGTAGCCGTCTTTGAAAAGCGGTCCACCAGAAATAACCGGCATCATCTTCATGTACACGAGAATGGCTACGGCCACAATGGGAACGATGCGAATTAGTCGGTGCAAGTACATCAGGGGCACATTCAGTTTGCCCTTAGTTCTTAAAAAAGTGAAATTAAATTAAATATTCTCAAATCCCATTGAAAAGCACATGACTTACTTCTCCATTGAACGCAAGGAAATCAAGGTCAACAGCATTCCTCCCAGAAAGAAGAAAGAGTCAACAGAGAAAAAGCCATGCAAGATAAAACTGGAGTAGGGTTGCTCCATCCACTACATTGAATTAATTAAATTAGTAAAATAAGTTTCGATGTCAAGACATGATAAATAAATACTTACAGAACTCGTGCTAAACATATTGATATTTGGTGCCAACATTGAAATAATGTATTCGTGCCCGTAAACAACCCAGAAGAGGGACATGCATCGAATTCCATGAAGACATTCGATTACGTTTGGGTTTTCCTTTGAATCAACGATCCGGAATATGACTCTTGCATTTGCTCTGGCCGAAAAAACCTTAACAAGTACGGGAAGCTGATCTGAAATGCAAATGAATATTGTATAAATAATATATGGTAGGAATATTTTTAACAATGGACAACTTACCTTGGTTTTGACAAATCAAGTAGTCGTAGATCGTAGCTAAAATCACGACGGAAGCCATTACTGATAAAAGAACACTGTAATCGGAGGGTTAGTAAATTACTTTTATAATACAAAATAGTGTATAACGCACATCGTGAAAATGGTGAGGCCATCCAGGGGTTCAGCCTCATCAGTCTGGCAACTGCTATCGCTTATTTTAAACACCTTAGAAGGGATATGAAAGCTCAATAGCTTGTCGGACAACTTGCTTATGAACTGGCTCATATGGGCCCCTGAGCAGGAAGCAGGAAAGCAGGTGGCTGTTCGAACTAACAACGATGCGCCAATTACAGTTGATCTTCCCAAAATTCCGAAAGGATTAGCTGATAGGAAACAGTATTTTCCACGGATCGTGCCGTTCTGGCTGTTTGTTGCCCTGATGTTCAAACACTCTTCATAGTTTCCCAAATCGTAGTAGTTTCCAATTAGTACACCCGATGGAATGGATCCCCAAGAATCAATCACTATTTAAAATGTTATTTAATTATAATATAATTACTATTTATTACACTAACTCACTTTTTAGAGCCCATTTTTGGCCTGTGCTGAGAGCCGTCGAGAAGTCAGCCAGTTCCTGGAGACACAAAGTATCCTCCTCTGTTGGTGACTCATCGGACAAGGCCAAGTCCTTTATAGTGGCATTCCGGAAAAATTGTGCAAACTGAAGACCCAACGACCGTATCTGATCGAAGCGTTGTAAATCCTGCAGGAAATCTTCATTTCTTTGTTCTGAAGCTCCGATGAGGGTGAGGCCGCAAAGGAAAAAGGCAACTACTATGTTGGCCATGGTTGCTAATAGTGAATTGACCAGTTCCTGCCACAAGCCACAGCTTTTATACACAAATAATATGGTGATAAGCAACATTGAGTGATAATGTATTAAACAACCTTCTGTAGGAGCCATGCGAAGGGTTACAGCCGAACAATGGTTCTCACCGATAAATAACTACGATAGTATGTAATCTACTATATTCAGTGGAAGTCTGGCCAAGATTGACTTCGTATTTTTAACGTTACTCACATGCTAATAAAATACAATCTCAATGGTCATACAAATTTAAAATCTATTTCAAGTGCTTTTCTATTTATCGACATGTTTAGTGGGAATTGTTTGATACTACCTCAACAGTTCTGTAGAAATTATTCAAATAATCGATAAGTTGATAAGGAGGGGGACTACCCAAACGTTTCGTCCTCAAGCCAAACAACTCAATGCCCTTACAAGAAGATCCGACAACTATTTGAGTCATCGAGAGTTTATTGGTTTGAACTCGACGATTTTTGTTGTTGACAGTGTAAAGCTTACCAACATCAATTATGATTCATTAATTATAATCAATAAATAATCTCAAATAGTATCTTATAAAAGTTTAATATTAATGGTATTAAATTTTTTTTTTTTTTATTGGTAACAATAACATAAACAACGTTTATCTAACGTTTATATGTGAAATTAATCAGGTAATCGTTAATTATTTTCAGTACATACGGACTTAAAGAACAACAATCTGGAATGGTCTCACAACCATTGCTCCTCCAATTCAATTCAGATCAGCTAATGCTATACGTTCCCGATCTTAGATATATGAGAACAATAAATTTATATCAAAATTTTTGTTAAAATTGTAATCCTTTTTTTTAATTTTTTAAGCAATTGCCACAAGACTGGTTGTTTTGGTTAACAATACTTTTCGCTTCCACTTATTCATTTCTTTTTTTTTTTTAGTTTTAATTCAAATCAAAGGCAATTGATGCTCTGGTATATAAAAGGTATTCCTTTTCCAAGTCCTATACGTTATGGCTCAAATATGCGCTAAAAAGTGTTTAAAAGGTCCATTTAGTCCACCCCTTGGTCTTAACTTGGTCAATGAGGTGTACCTTGATTTAAAACAAGGAATTTTATATAACATCAAAAACACTTCGACGAATATTACACCTTCCCGATCTTATTTCTTCAAGTTCTATTAGTTCGAATTTAAACTTGGAAAACTAAAATACGATTCGTTTTTTTGACTAAAATCGATCAAATCTTCATTTCTCTAATTCATGGATTTTTTTTAGAAAAATCTTTTAAGAGTTTCGCAATTTATTTCAAATATTTTATGATAAACTGATTTACTAGTTTTCTTTGTTTGAAAATAATTTTTAATGGTATAGTAAAACAGAGTGATTAAAATGTTGGTATTTATTTAACCGTAGAGATATACCCTTAAAAATGCTAGTAATTATTTTTAATCTATTCTTAGTAAATACAAGTTGGTTAAAGCTTGATTAAACTTGAAATTCTTTAAGTTGAGAGAGAATTTGGTTCACTATCAGAAGAATCAGAAGTATGGTGACCTTTAGAAATTCTTGAGTCAGCTGATAGTGTGTGTTATCTTTTGATTCGTATTTTTTTTTCAATTCTTTTGGAGACTGCCTTTAGTTTTTCTGCCTTTCCGAGTAACACATTATATCGTAATGTTTATAACCATTGTCATAAACATAATAATCTTTCAAAATTACAGCTCCTTTCAAGTAATATTTTCTTTGCTGACGAATTTATTGGAAATGGTTCGATGATATTTTAACGTTTCTTTATAATTGATTGAACTCGTTGATAAGACCGGGGATCCTTAAGAAATTCCTCAGACCCGCGAGAATGATTGAATAACAGTAAAGCAGTTGAAAACAGCAGAATGAAGAAGTATGACCATAAGTGGTATTTCAAAAATATACATTTTGCAACACTGAAAAGGGGGAAAAACTTCAACGCCATAACTCGTGGTAAAACAAGTGTAAAGCAGAGTAAAAAAGCAGATAACACGTGGATTTTTTGGACACACCATTTATTCCCCATTAAATATGCAGTTGTAGTTAGATAAACTTAATGGAGTTGGCTTGTTCACTTAGCCTAATATTGATAAACTATTTCATGAAATATCCGTCTGACTATTGAATTCTGTTGAAAGCCTTACTAGACCAGGAGAATTCATGCGAGAGCTTAAAAGTATGCAATATACAAACCGCTTTATTATGGCCACAATTTTGATTTTGAAAATGAGAAGACGAAGCTACATATTTAATAAAGCTGCTGTTTCATAAACATTCGAAATGACTTTTATACACAACTAAAAAAAAATCTTGTATTGAAAATATAAAAGTATTACAATTCATTTTATTTGACAATAAAAATAAGAAACTTATTTATTTAGATTCTTAATTTTATTTTGTTGCTAATCTACTGCAGTTGATACTTGTGATTCTTCAGAACTTAAATTACTTCTTGTATTGACTTCGCATTCCTGTATCTGCTGTACCTCCTGACTCTCCTGTATAGCCTTCTGTGGGATTTTATTACTTAGAGGTGTCTTCGTTCGGGGCTTAAGGAAATTGCCAATTCCACCTAGAGGTGCCTCAATTAATAGATGCAAGACAAACGAAATCAAAATGGTAATGCCCAGGTCTGACCAGAATTTTAGAATCTAAAAAGAAAACAATGTAATACTTCACAAATCAATATAACACAAAAAAACTCACGATTTGATAATTGGAAAAATACACGTTTGTTCTGACATTTCTGGCATTTACCTCCAGAACAAACTTGTGCCAGATATAGATGGAGAACGACAACCTAGACAGCGGCTGCCATAAAGGGGAAGAGAGGAAACTGTTGGCCAGACCTCCGTACCCCTGAATGCATGCGAAGATTACCCAGCACAAGGCCAAAGGCCAACCAATTCTCGTTAAAGTGTGATAGAAGGCTTCAGCCAGGGTAGAAATGGGCGGGGTATCCCATTTGGCTTCAGGGTAGAGAGCAAAGATTGATGTGAAGATCATGGAGAAGCTGAGGATCCAACCCAGCCCCACCATCATCCAGTTTAGCTGGAACTTCTTGTCCCTGTTGAGATAAAGAAAGTATCCGAATAGGAATCCAATGAGCCAGGGAGCAGCATGAGTGTGGGTGTCATAATACATTTTCTGCAATGCATTCGAACTAATCTTCCTGTGAATGATAAAGATATTAGATTCTACTATTTTTGAGTACACTTTCCCCCCTTACTTCATGAGCATTGAGTAGTTGTTCAGCATTATAGTCGCAAAAAGGCAGGCAGACAGTAGAATCACAAGAATCACTATTCCAGCAGCAGCCTTTTTGCCCCATTTGTACAAAGCAATCAGAAAGATGGGAGAAATAACAAATAGCTGCATATCCACCGCCAAATACCAGGTATGTCCAACGCACTAAAAGATTAGTGGTTCAATACTATAAAAGAATGTATAAAAATTGTAAAGCTACTAACCTTATTGACAAAGTAATTCTGAACAAACAGCAGACTCCCATACCAGTCGGACTCACATTGCGAAAGACCACTGTACCCACCGCTAAAAAGCGGCCCACCAGACACAACTGGCATGAGTTTCATATAAATCAGTATAGCCATGGCCATAAGGGGCCAGATGCGGATTATACGGTGAACATACATCAGTGTCACGTTCAGCCTACCCTTGGACCTATTCAGAAATCTTTAACTTCTGAGCAAAACAAAATTGATCAAATTACCTATCCAAGAATCGCAATGTAATCAAGGACACCAACATGCCCCCAAGTACAAAAAATGAGTCCACCGAATAAAATCCATGCAACACAAAGCTGGCATATGGAGTCTCGGCCCACTAAAAGAAAAGGTCACTATATTATTTTGAAGTATGAATTATTGTGTACACTCACGGGAAGTAATTGCATAAGGTTAAGGTTAGCCGAGTTTGGGACATTTAGGTACTCATGGCTGTAAATAACCCAGAAAAGGGACATGCAACGAATACCATGAAGACAATCGATTACATTGGGGTTCAATTTGCTTTCCACAACACGGAAAAGTGCCCGTGAATTGGCCTTCGCGGAAAACGTTGTCACTACAATAGGTAGCTCATCTAAATGAAAAAGCCAATATGCTAATCTCGAGTACTGACCAAATCGGGTTATTTTACTCACTTGGAGCCTTTCGCAGAAAACAGTCGATTAACGTAAATATAGCTACGATCGATGCCATCACCGCTAGTATCACACTGGAATTAGAAAATAGAATTCATAGAAAAAAGCTTGATTACAATATTGGCAAATCACTCACATTAGGGCAATGGTGAGTTTGTCCCATGGTTCTTTTTCAACAGTTTGGCAACTACTATCGATAATGTCAATTCCAGAAATGGAATAAGTATTATTAAAGGCTAATATTTTTCTAAAAAAATTATTAATATGAGAAGCCCGGCAAGAGCTTGGCAAACAAGTTGCAATGTTGATTTCCATCCCAGTTTCCGTGCCTAAAAGATAATCTGGAACAACCTTCAGAAAACAATATTTTCCACGGATAGCTCCGGTTAGTTCGGTATTTAGACACTCATCAAAGTTTCCCAGGTCGTATGAGTTTCCAGTCAGAACTCCAGAGGGAAACTTACCCCAAGAGTCCAGCACTTAATTAAAATTATTTAAATATTTCTTTTTACCATGGGTAATGAGGCACTCACTTTTCAGAGCCCAATATTCGCCGGTGCTGACACTAACAGAAAACAACACCAAATCGTTGATACACAATAAATCCTCATCGGTGGGGTCCTGAGCTCGATCGGAAGGTATAATATCTTTCACCGAAGCATTTTGGAAGAAGTTGACAACCTCCAGCCCAAGGGAACTGAGTGGCTTTAGCCGCTTAAAGTCGCGTAATACATATTTATTCCCGGCCTCTGATGCACAAATTATATTAAGCCCAAGGAGTAAAATTACTCCGACTCTAGTAACCATGATTGTTTTAATTCTACTGACCGCTTCTGGCAACAATCAAAGATATTTATTGACGAATTTTCAAGTGTCAAAAATAATACTTAGCGATAATAAAATGCTAAGAGGTAGGCAATTTTTTTGTGATTTATAAAGGTTTTATTTTTACAATCAAACGAAAAGCACTTAAAATATACAAATCTAATCATTTACTACTATAACGTAGAACTTTACAATTTAATGGTAGTTCAAATACAGCTCAATGAAAGTTTTGTGTTTGAGCCTCGAAGAATATATTTAAAATATCTGTAAAATATAGTATAAATTAAAAATTAGGTAATTAAAGAAGCTTAGACTTTTTCCTGTTCCAAATTTGTCTCTGATTCGGGTGTAAAAACATTGAAGTCTGCAGAAGAACTGGAGGTTTCAAAATCTTTCTTGTCATTATTGTCCACCTGATCTTTATTTGTGACTTTTGTTTTAATTCGTGGCTTTAGATGCTCTCCAATGCTACTAAATGGCGCCTCAATTATAAGGTGCAAGGCATAAGATACCAAAATGGTAATTCCCAAATCTGACCAGAACTTGAGCATCTGAAAGAAAAAACTTTAAGTCAAACCAAAATTTTGGTAAGAAAAAACCACTACATACCATTTGATAGTTGGAAAAATAAACATTAGTTCTGACACTTCTGGCATTAACTTCCACGATGAATAAGTGCCAAATAAATATGGAGTAGGACAGTCTGGAAAGCGGTTGCCATAGAGGAGAGGAGAGGAAGCTATTGGCCAGGCCACCATATCCTTGGATACAGGCGAAGATCACCCAGCACAAGGCCAGAGGCCAACCAATCCTAGTGAGCGTGTGATAGAAAGATTCTCCCAAAATGGAAACAGAGGCCCCAGTCCATTTGCCCGACGGGTAAAGAGCAAAGATTGAAGTAAAGATCATGGCCAGACTGAGGAACCAACCCAGCCCCACTATCATCCAGTTTATCTGGTACTTCTTGTCCCTGTTGAGGTGCAGGAAGTATCCGAAAAGGAATCCAATTAGCCAAGGAGCAGCATGGGTGTGAGTTGCATAGTACATATTCGCCATGGCATCAACACTAGTTCTCCTGAGAAGTAGATTAAAAAAAAGTTAGAAGAAAATTTAAAACTTAAATATCAGCTCGACATACTTCATCAGCATTGAGTAATCGTTAACCATCATTGTGGCAAAAAGACAGCCTGAAAGGAGAAGCACAAGAACCACTATTCCGGCTACCGCCTTCTTGCCCCATTTATACAAAGCAAACAGAAAGATTGGAGATAAAATAAATAATTGCATATCCACTGCCAAGTACCAGGTATGTCCAACACACTAAAATATAAACATAATCATTAATAGAAAAGAATATGGAGCTCTAGGATTGTAAAACTATTTACCTTATTAGAAACATAGTTCTGCACGAATATAAGGCTCCAATACCATCCTGCCTCACATTGGGGTAGACCACTGTATCCATTTTTAAAAAGCGGTCCATCAGCCACAACTGGCATCATCTTCATGTAAATCAGAATTGCAAAAGCCATAAGGGGCCAGATGCGGATGAGACGATGCAAATACATCAGTATCACATTCAGTTTACCATCGGATCTATAGGAAAATAATACAATTTAAGCTTTATACCACTTTTCAAAGAACTCTTGTTCTTACCTCTCCATTATACGCAACATAATGAAAGACACCAACATGCCTCCGATCACAAAAAATGAATCCACAGAGAAAAAGCTGTGCAATACGAAACTGGCGTAAGGTTCCTCAGCCCACTAGAAAAAAAAAAAAAAACAAATTATTAGGGATACTCCAAAGATAAAAATAATCACCTACAAGGAACCAATCCACAAGATTAAGATTTGCTGTGATTAGACTATCAACATATTCATGACTGAAAATAACCCAGAAAAGAGTCATACAACGAATTCCGTGGATGCATTCGATTACGTTGGGGTTTGACTTTGTGTCAGAGACTTGGAAAAGAGCTCGGGAATTTGCCCGGGCCGAAAATATTTTCACAACAGCAGGAAGCTCATCTGAAAGTTAAAGATAGTTACAACAAAGCCGTATATAGGTTATTATGAAGTTTTTCCCACCTGGAATCTTGCGAAGAAAATAATCAACAACCGTAAACAGAGCTACTATGGCGGCCATAGCCACTAAAATCCAGCTGAAATAAGATTGGAATGGTAAACATTTTGGGTAATCAGTATATTAATAAATTGCATACATTGTGGCTTTGGTGAGTCCGTCCCATGGTTCCTTCTCTAAGGTTTGGCAACTGCTATCCGAAATGCCTATTCCAGGTACGGAAACGGTCGTATTTATGCTAAACATGGTCTTGAGAAAGTTATTCATGTGGCTGGCTCGGCAAGAGCTCGGAAAGCAGGTTCCTATATTAAGTTTTACGGCTGCAGCGAATGGATTAGTACTTCCAAGGAGTAGTGAAGGGGTGACCGATAGAAAACAATATTTTCCAGTGACACTTTTATACGGCTCGGGAAGAATATTTTTAGTATTCAGGCACTCATCGAAGCTTCCCAGCTCGTAAAGGTTTCCTTTCAATATACCGGAGGGGAACTTACCCCACGAATCGAACACTAAAGATGAATGTTTATATTAAAATTTAAAACCTTTGCAAAAAGATAAAGCAACTCACTTTTTAATGCCCAATATTCTCCAGAGCTGATACCAACAGCGAGCAACACTAAATCGTATATACATTGAAGATCCTCTTCGGTAGAGTCTTTTGCGCCATAGGGCATAATGTCATGAACCGAAGCATTGTGAAAGTAGTTCACGAACTCAAAGCTTAGAGAGTTCAGCGTGTATAGCCGCTGTAGATTCAGCTGGAAACCCTTTTCATTTGGCTCTGCAGCACTTATGAAAAGTAGACCACTAAAAAAAATAACTCCGAGTGTGCTGACCATCGTAACTACAATTGTACTAACCGTGTTTGCTTTAAAACAGAAGGCTTTATATACGAATTATCAATTGATAAGCATATTTTGCGATAATTTTATTTTAATCGTTTGATGAATGGACCTGCCGTTTTACAATCAAAAAGCAAGTACTCTAAGCTCTATTTTTATAACCCCTACTTGAATGCTTTTCTGCAAGCATTACATGTTAACTAATTCATTCAAATTTAAAATATTACTAAAATTTATGAATTCTTGTTGACCTGAGATTAGGAAATGGTGACTAATGTTCAAAGATTAAGCATTTAAATCACAAGACCATTCATCACGAGATTACTTCATATAGGGGGTATTGCCAATTTCGCACCTTATCGGAATTTCGTACTGGACTATGGAGAAGTTGTGCATTTAGCACATCAAATAATATATTTTTAAAAAAGTATTTAAATAAAAGCTCATAAATTACTTTCCACAAAAAATTATTGAATACTTTTCTTTACGATAAATGTATTTTTATAATTGTCTATTCATTGAACTTAAAATTTAAATTAAGAAAAAAATATGTTTATTTGTCCCATAGTACAAGATTAAAGTTTATTAGCGCGTGTAGTGACTTGCAATCTACCAACTGTGAAGTGGTTCTAAAAGGATTATGCATACGATTTGAATTCATAATCTGATCAGGGGCTGTTATTTATTTATGGCGGCCTCTTAGATTTGATTGTTTGAATAATCTTATAAACTACCATTATTTATAAAAATATTATTATTATTTATTCGTTCATCATTTTGCTTACAAAATTGGGCGCGCTCAGCAGCAAAAACAAGAAATCACACTACACATCACAATCACATTATTGGACTTTATCCCGATCTAATCTATTATCTAATCCTATCACACCTGATGTTGCGCTTCCAAAAATTAATTAATACAAAGGCAAATATTTAGATCTAATAAACCATGAAGGAGGAACTGCCATGCAATGATAAAACAATTTTAATTAAGCATTAGTTCTATTCTGAGTTACTGTCAGATTTTCTATTTCTGTATTTTTGTTTTTTATATCCTCACTCTGGTCTGCTATTAGTTTGGGGTTACTTGGCGCTGGAGATTCTCTGCGCCCTCGTAATAGACTATCAAACCCGCTTAGAGGTGCCTCAACAATAAGATACAAGACATACGACATCAGCAGGGTATGACCCAAGTCTCGCCAGAAACTAAGCATCTTAAATGGAAAATTGAATGTAATCTTTAAAAATGTTGTATACTCTTGTATAAAGAATTAACTTACCATTTGGTAGGTTGAGAAATATGTAGTGGTTCGCACACTTCTTGAGTTAACTTCCTGGACGAACATGTGCCAGACGTACATTGAATACGAGAGCCTGGAAAAAGGCTGCCACAGTGGGGACGAGAGAAGACTATTGGCCAAGCCTCCATACCCTTGCATGCAGGCAAATATGATCCAGCAAATGGCCAATGGCCAAGCCAGTCGGGTCAGGGTGTAATAGAAGGATTCCGCGAATGTAGAAAGTGGCGGAGCATCAAACTTTCCAGCTGGGTAGAGCGCGAAGATCGAAGTGAACAGCATGGTCAGGCTGAAAAGCCAACCAGCCCACACCATTAACTTTGAAAGCTGGAACTTCTTTCCACGATTCAGATGCAAGAAGTATCCAAATAGAAAGCCAATCAGCCAAGGTGCCGCGTGGGTGTGTGTGGCAAAGTATAAATTTTTATTGGCCACTCCGTCTTTATCTTCATTTCTGCAATGATATTATCAGCATTTTGGGAGTTGATTTCCAGGAATAGTACTTACCTTATAAGCAGAGAATAATTGTTAATCATTTGAGTGGCAAAGAGGCAGCCCGAAAGAAGAACTATTAACACACAAATTCCTGCAGCAGCCTTTTTACCCCATTTGTAGATAGCGATCAGCAGAAGCGGAGATATTATATATAATTGCATATCGACCGCCAGATACCATGTGTGGTCAAGACACTGTAATTAAAAATAACATATAAAACAGATTTTAAGCAATATTACTTTCACTTTTCCTACAATGTCTAGCACTGCATAGTTTTGGACAAAAAGCAACGTCCAGAACCAGTTCCTTGCACAGATAAAGGTTCCATGGTATCCACCTTTAAACATTGGTCCTCCACTTACAACTGGCATCATTGTCATGTAAATGAGTATGGCCATGGCCACGACAGGCACGATGCGGATGATGCGATGCAGATACATCATAAGGGGATTAAGTTTTCCCTTAGACCTATGAAAATACGCTTAATAATCTATGAAACTTGGTTTAAGTGCGGCACTCACTTCTCCATAGTCCGTAACACAATCATGGACACCAGTAAGCCTCCAAGAACAAAAAATGAGTCCACCGAGAAATATCCATGTACCACAAAACTGGCAAATGGTTGTTGGGCCCACTAGAAAATGTTCCCAATATGAAAATCTGAATATAGTAATTTTATAAAGAAATCACCTACCTTAAGAAGATCATTCATATTTAAATTGGGAGCTGTGGTAGCGAAAATAAATTCATGGGAGAAAACCACCCAGATAAGTGACATGCAGCGGATTCCATCAAGACTCTCTATTATATTTGGGTTTGATTTGTTATCCACGATACGAAAAAGAGATCGGGAGTTGGCTCTAGCCGAAAATGACTTTACGATGATTGGAATTTCATCTTATGAAATCTATTTTTAGTATTTTTTTATAAAGTTACCCGTATGAGAAAACTTACCTTGATTCTCGCAGAAAAAGTAGTCGTAGACCGTTGCAAGAATCACTATAAGGCTTAGTACTGACAATATCACTCTAAAATTAAAAATATTACTATAAAAATGGCACGAAACTGTTCGTACTCACATTGTAAAGACAGTCAGGACATCCCAAGGTGCTCCTTCACTTGTTTGGCAACTAATTTCACTGATTTTAATACTGATGCTGGTGTTCAATGTGTTCTGAATAATATTATTCACAAATGGAGTCATGTCACCAGCCGAACACGAAGCCGGAAAGCAAGTTGCAATCTTGATTCTTTTAGCAACAAGAAAGCAGTACTTGCCAATAATTTTTCGATTGGACTCTGTGACATGCGCGATGGAAAGGCATTCATCGAAATTACCCAGATCGAAAGTTTCTCCGGTAAGAATTCCAGAGGGAATGAATCCCCACGAGTCCATCACTAGCAGGGTAACAGAAAAACATATGTGTAATTAGATAATAACAAGTTACATATGAGTAAAACAACTTACTTTTTAAAGCCCAAGCCCTCCGGGAAGAGATACCATTCTCAACTTCAGTTATGTCCGCCGTACACTCTAAATTCGCTTTACTAGAAACTCGTCGAAGGCTTTCATCGTGGAAGTGATCGAAGAAATGGGCTCCCAGAGGACTCAGAATTTTTCCTAACTCATATTCTTGCAGGACATCTGTGTTCACGAATTGAAGGGAAGTTATGAGTCCAAAAAACAATAAAACACCAGTAACGTTGGCCATATTAATTGGCGGGCGATTGACAGCTTTTAGCCAATTGCTCGTGATTTTATACGGTTAGCCGCAATCTGGTGATAAGCGATATCTATAATTGGTATATACAAAGTTTCTCTAAGCCCCATTAGGAGAGCTGTTTCCGAGGACAAACTTTTTATATTCACATACATATTATGTACTATATTTATATGTCGGTTTATGTTCATTAGGAACATCAGATAACCGCTGAAAAATTTTCTGGGTAAAGAAACTCCTCTTGAAAACTAAGATTGCGACATATGGGTTGTCTAACATATATTTAACAATTTTTGTATTATACACTTTGGCTGCACTTAAATTATTTATTAACAAATTTCTTATCAATGAGTTGGTTAATTTTTTTGTATTGTTTATTTTTTGGTTTTTTGAATTGATAGCCCATATTTGACCACCTGGCCAATTCAGAAAATATTCATTGACTGACACTTCCGATGCGATCTCGGCATAATTCCTATTATCTAAATAATTGTACTTACTTTCGCAACCGATTAGATACTTAAGAAATCAGGAATAAGATAATCTGGTAATAATTCTTCGTAGTATTATTTTTGGCTGTTCGACTTTTCAATCAAAGAAAGGGCAAAGAGCAGGACATTTTGAGTCATGTAATACATAATTTAAGCAGAATAAATGTATTTAATAGATCTTTGGGGTATAAATGCTGATTTGTGGTTTTATTAATTATTTAATTACATTTGCTTTGGGGATTCATTTCGGTAAGGTTTTGGTTTTCATTCTGACTTGTTTGGCTTACTTCAACCTCTTCCGGATTTAATTTTGGCTCCGTACGTACAGCAGGCACTCTTCGCTTTCGCAAAAGAACATCAAAAATACCCAGAGGAGCCTCGACGATAAGATACAAAAAGTAGGACATCACCAATATGAAACCGAAATCCTCCCAGAAGTGAAGCATCTGAAAAATTTAAACAATTAAAAATGGATCAAAGATACAAGCAATGTGACATACCACTTGGTAATTGGAGAAGTATGTGTTTGTCCTGGTATTGCGGATGTTGACTTCCTGGACAAACATGTGCCAAACAAACATTGAATATGAAAGCCTGGAAAAAGGCTGCCACAGCGGAGAAGAAAGGAAACTATTGGCCAGGCCTCCATATCCTTGCATGCAGGCAAAGACGATCCAGCAAATGGCTAAAGGCCAACCCACCCGGGTTAGGGTGTAGTAGAAAGATTCCGCCAAAATAGAAATTGGCGGAGAATCAAATTTTCCGGCTGGGTAGAGGGCGAAGATCGAAGTAAACAGCATGGCCAGGGTAAAAATCCATCCAGACCACACCGTTAACTTTGAGAGCAGGAACTTCTTGCCGCGATTCAGATGCAAGAAGTATCCAAAAAGAAACCCAATCAGCCAAGGCGCCGCGTGGGTGTGAGTGGCAAGGTACAACTTTTTATTGCCCAAGCCATCACCGTCATCACCGTTTCTGCAATAACATTATGGTAGAAATATAGGATCTTTTCAGGGTCTGTTAATAAAAACTCATACTTAAAGAGAATTGAGTACTTGTTGACCATTTGTGTGGCAAAAAGGCAGCCGGAGAGCAAAACTATTAATACCACTATTCCAGCAGCAGCCTTTTTGCCCCATTTGTAAATAGCTATCAGGAGAATAGGTGAGATTATGTACAACTGCATATCCACTGCCAAGTACCAAGAATGATTGAGGCACTAAAAAATAATATAATAACAATTATAATTGATGGAATGCCACACAAAATACTGTATACTCACAAAGTTTAAAACTGCATAGTTTTGGACGAAAAGCAAGGTCCAGAACCAATTTTTTTCACAGGCGTGTGTTCCATGATATCCCCCCTTGAACATGGGTCCTCCACTCACAACTGGCATCATCCTCATGTAGATGAGTATGGCGATGGCCACGACAGGCAGGATTCGGATTATACGATGCAGATACATCATAAAGGGATTTAGTTTTCCCTTGGATCTAGAAGGAACAGTACATAATATCGGAAACTTGGTTAAGATTGGGGACTCACTTCTCCATAGTTCGCAACACAATCATGGATACCAGCATTCCGCCAAGCACAAAAAATGAGTCCACCGAAAAATATCCATGGACCATAAAACTCGAAAATGGCTCAGCAACCCACTGAAAAATACCCAATGTGAGAAGTTCATAAATTTAATTATTTTTGTTAAGCTTACCGCAACCAGATCCAATGTATTCAGGTTCGGGGATATCATTGTGAATGCATATTCATGGCAAAATATCACCCAAATCAATGACATGCAGCGGATTCCATTAAGGCATTGTATCACATTTGGATTGGAATTGTTTTCGACTCTAAAAAGTGCTCTCGAGTTGGCTCTGGCAGAAAACGATTTTACAATGACTGGCATTTGACCTTAAACCATAATTTCATTGTCACAAATTTTCTCATTAATTATTCTTTTTAAGAAACTTACTCTGATCCTTACAGAGGAAATAATCATAGAGCGTTGCAATCGTCACAACTACACTAAGTACTGATAAAAGGACTCTAAAATATTATAAATTAACATCATAAATATAATAAAAGGCTTTAAAATGTTTAATACACACATTGTAAAAATTGTTAGACCATCCCATGGCTCCTTTTCACTTGTTTGGCAACCACTTTCATTGATTTTAATGCTTATACTGGTATTTATTATTGTTTGTAAAAATTTTTCCATAATAGTTTGCATGGTGGTAGCCGAACACGAAGCAGGAAAACAAGTAGCGATTTTCAAACTACTTATGGTCAGAAAGCAATACTTGCCACTGATTTTCCTGTTTTCTTCGACCAACTTCTCGATAGATAGGCATTCATCAAAGTTTCCCAGGTCGTAGGAATCACCGGTGAAAAGACCCGATGGAATAGAGCCCCAGGAGTCGACCACTAATAAGGTATTGAAATATTTCCTTTTACTTTACTAATTAATTTCTACTTTGAAACTTACTTTTCAGGGCCCAAGTCTGTTGAGATGAAATACCCTTAAGCAAAGCAGTCAGGTCCGTGGTACATTTGTCAATATCATCTTGTCGTGGCTCCTTTTTATTCCATTCCGGCCATATTTCATTCCGAAGGTAATCCAGAAATTGTAGTCCCAGAGGATTTAGTTTCCCCGCAAATTCGTATTCCTTTAGGACATCAGAACCTCTTGACTGGGAGACCGCTATAAGCCCGAAGAGCAATAAAACTTTAGTACCGTAGACCATAATAAATTTCTGTCGATTGACAGCTCCAAGAAAGATGTCCGTGATTTTATAGAGTAAAATAATCTGGCGATAAGAGGTATCTTTAATTTTTACACTCTGCCGCTACCCGACAAACTGATTGTGGAAGGAAACTTATAATACACGAATGAGTTATTCATCAGAACACCCTGATAGTCAAAAAACCGATTTCTGGGTAGAAGTCCACTTGGAGGCTAATCATTAATTTTATTCAATGACGTTAAGTTTACACAGTCTGAGTCATAACACTCTAAAGCTTAATTATTCTTTATCTTACAAAAATTTTTTACCATACTTATAAAGTAATCTAATTTATCAGCGATGTAAAGTAATTCTAAGTAGTTCGTTCGAGACTTTCGATTTTATTGCCTTCTGTTGAGGGTTTTTGGGTCTCCACTGATGTCAGGGTAGGCTGACTAGGCTTTGGATTTGTGTGGGGTCTCCAGAGCGCATCCAGTCCACCGATTGGAGCCTCGATTACGAGAAACAATACATAGGACATCACCAGGCTGATGCCGAAGTCTGACCAGAAGTTTTTCATCTTAGAGAAAGGAGAGTTGAAAGCTTTCGTAATCAAAATTCATTATTAATTCTTACCACAGTATAACCTGAGAAATAGGTGCTTGTCCTCACATTTCTACTGTTGACTTCCTGAATGAACATGTGCCAGATGTAGACCGAATAAGAAAGCCTTGAGAGTGGCTGCCAAAAGGGGGAGGACAAGAAACTTTTGGCTAAGCTGCCGTATCCTTGGATGCAGGCAAAAACCACCCAGCCCACAGCTAGTGGCCAACCTAACCGCGAGAGGGTATAGTACAGGGATTCTTCTGCTGTTGACAAAGGTGGAGCACCACTTCTGCCAGCAGGATATAGGGCGAAGATTGAGGTGAAGATCATGGCCAGGCAAAGGATCCAACCCAACCAAACCATTTTCCAGCTAAGCTCAAACTTTCTACCACGGTTTGCGTGCAAAAAGTAGCCAAACAAGAATCCAATCAGCCAGGGAGCACAGTGCGTATGGGTGGCCAGGTATAACTTTTGATTGGCCTCAGGATCATCACCTGCAAGTCTACAGAATACATACATATTAGTTATCTAAGAATATCTTTGGAGATTATTAACTCACTTATTAAATACTGTATAATGGTTAACCATCTGAGTGGCAAACAGGCAGCACAGTAGGAGCGCCACAAGAACAATAATTCCAAAGGCTGCTTTCTTGCCCCATTTGTAGAGAGCGATCAGCAAAAGGGGGGATAAGACATAGAGCTGCATATCAACAGCCAGATACCAGGATTGATCCAGACACTAAAACGAAGAAGTTGTGAGCACAAGAAGGGAAGTTTCATTGAAGATAGACTTACCACATCCTGCGTTGCATAATTTTGTACGAAAATCAGGTCCCAGTACCAGCCATTTATGCAAGCCTCTTTGCCATGAAAGCCACTCTTGAACAGGGGTCCCCCACTCAGCACAGGCATCATCTTTACGTAAATGAGTATGGCCATGGCCAGGACAGGCCAGATGCGAATGACGCGATGCAAGTACATCATCGGCACATTCAGTTTTCCCTTGGTCCTGTGATTCGAAACAAGAACTTGTATTTATGTGAAAGTTTCCTGTAGTTATGCTTACTTTTCCATAGTCCGCAAGGCAGTCATTGAAACGAGCAAGCCGCCAATAAACAAAAAGGTATCCACTGAGAAGTAACCATGCTGGAAAAAGCTCCCCATGGGTTTTTCCAGCCACTAAGAGGGAAATAAAATAATCATTTGGAAACATGGCTGATTAGCAGTGCCAGCAGCTTACCGAAATCGCATAGGTGAAATTAATATTGGGGGATATCAGGCTGTACATGTGCTCGTGGAGGTACACCACCCAGATTAGTGACATGCAACGAATGCCATGGAGACAGTCAATAACATTCGGATTGGAGCTGGTGTCCGAAACGCGGAAAAGGGCTCGAGAGTTGGCCCGAGCCGAGATAATCTTCACTAATAGGGGAAGCTTTTCTGAAATCAAACTTATGAGCCTTTGAGCACTTGATTGCAATCTCTGTTTGGCACTTACTTTGATCGTTACACAGAAAATAGTCGTACAAGGTGCAGATAGCGACAATCAAAGTTAGAAGCGACAAAAATACACTTTTATAGAAAGAAGGTATTGTAAGTATATAGATTGCTTACCAATCAGTTATTTTTTAGAACTTACACTGTAAAAATAGTCAGACCATCCCAGGGCTCAGACTCGCTGGTCTGGCACCCAGATTCATCAATATTTAAGCCAATACTACTCTCGGTAATATTAAACATTATTTGATAAAACTGCTTGGCAAAGGATTCCATTTGCGGACCCGAGCACGAGGCGGGAAAACATGTGGCTATCTTGATCTGCATGGATTGCAGAGCTTCGATTTCAGTTGCGTCCTTGATGGGAATCCCCATAAAGCAGTACTTTCCCAGGATCGTTTGAGAGCCACTAATCTCTTGATGAACATTCAGGCACTCATCAAAGTTTCCTAGATCATAGAATGTTCCGTACAAAACGCCGGAGGGAAAAGATCCCCATGAATCGAGCACTATAGGGTTGGAAAATTAAAATTACGTATTTTTCAATTTACTGTTAACTTCTCACTTTTCAAGGCCCAAGGACTTCTGGTTTTTAATGCCTCAACAACAGCTTTCATGTCGGCACTGCACTGTTCGTCATCCGTACTAATGGCGCTTAAATCAATCTGATCATAATCAAATAGTCTTCGATTTTGATTCACTAAGCTCGTCTCCGAAACTCCAATCACAAGCATGGCAATAGCCACGAAAACGGTTACTCTGTTAGCCATAGTGGTACTTTATGTTTTGATTTGCCGGTTCAGTTAGCGAATGCTTTTATACAAGGCACTCTTTTCCTAATCTGGCGATAAACGTTATCAGGGGGTATACCTGTGAGGTATTACCAAACGGCTATCGCTTTATGGGAAAAGCCTTCAATCATGGGTATGTCCAAAAAAAAATATAGAAGCACTTACAGATAAAAGGGAACTTTTAAATAAAATGCTGCATTGGATTTCCCTTGTTTTTGCTTTAATTTAAAGGGAATCTCAGAAAACCCATGCTGAGTTTGTTCACCACTGAAATTTGGGTTGTTTTGAGAGAAGTAAACAAGGCATATAGGCAAGACCACGAACCAAGGCTAATAACCTTCAAGGACTTCAATAGAAATTCCTTCCACTTCATGTTCTCCGTATCCTTGTACTTTGAGCTTTTTGTTCGTTGCTTGAATACGACGTAAACCTATTAAATATTTTTTTTCCAATAATTTTCAAAGCATTAGCTCATCATCAATTTGCTGCTTTATGAAATTGGCAGCAATCACGTTATGCTCACCCGGCCACGCCTCCAAAACCCACACACACACACCGTCGCCAAAAAAGAGGAAGGAAAATCAAACACACAAACAGCCATATTTGCCACACACACACTGGCACACCAAAACACACACACAGATACGCTTAAGCACATTTGCTTAATTTTCGAAATGAGTTCGCATGACTTACAGCGCCCCCCAAAACCCCGTATCCGTATCTATCGTATCCTGTATCCTTTATGGCTGACTCTTCTCTCGCCTTTGCTTTCGGTTTGGCCTTTGAGTCTGAGTCATTCGTTTGCTTTCTCGTTGATTAAATACGGAAATTGTTTGACTTTAGTTAGGCGCATGCAATTAATTAAATTAGAGCACCCGAAAAACCATCAGACAAACAAACGAATCCCAACGAAACATTCAATCAAAAAAAGAGTTCAAAGTGCCAGAAATGGAGTTCGGATCGGACTTCGGGAAGTTATCGACTGGAAATTATCATACGACTGGACTTTATGCAAATTTCAATTTATTCAGAGGAGCAGCACCCAGAAGAACCAAGTACTGAGCCAGGAACAATCCCAGCCAGCTCCTTGGGCTTGGGTTTACGACTTTATTCCATGACAGATTGTCATTTCAGCTGGACGGGTAGGTAGGTCGTGGCGGGAAGAGTGTAACACGCCAATCCCGCGATGGCATAATGAGGGAATGGCGTTTTTCCATCATATTTTATTGGGCCAAGGAGCTGCGCTATTCATCATGTATCCGTATATGAAACCCATTTGGCGTCTGCCTCCAGAATTTCTCCAGTCGTGGCAGACGCGGCACGTGCCATAAAGCGGCGTGGCCAATAAAGTTGGTGCCGTTCAGGCCGATAATAAACATGCTAATGCCCATTACGAGGCGACTTTGAATTGAAAATCCCCCGAAATTAATACGAACGCCAACGTAACACGGGCTTTAGTTAATTGAACATGTTGCCCGTGTAAATGCATAATTAAATTACTACAACTTTAACTAAATCGCACACACGGTTGGCCAGAAAGGTGCGCTTAAATAGTTCATTAGGAGCAATTCATTGGTTTAAATAGCTGCGAAAAGGGCGCTTGCCACATAATTGAATGCACTACAAGCTGTGCATCTGTCCGGACCTCGATTGGTTCATGTAATTACCGTAATTGGCATCAAATGCTATTAAATGTTTATTGTACAAGAAGGTAATGTCAAGAGCGTTTACTGAAAATTATTTAAATAGCACCTAAAACAAAAACATCTAACAAAAAGTCAAAAATTTGCATAACGTAGTGGAAAATGAAAGTGAAATTTAACACGTTATTACTTTTAATTTGGGAAATAAATGGGATTGTTCAATTATTTAATTAATGCGTGTATTTTTAAAACAAAAATCAATCCTTGATAAATAATTATCCAAACGAATCTAAACTGGAAAAATATAATTCAATAATATAAATAAACGTGACTTTTTTATTTGATTGATTAGATACAGCTTTCGTTTATTTAGATTTTCCGGTTAATATCGATGATGGGGAAACCAACATAAAGTATACTATATAATAGGTTTCAATAAATAAAAAAAATAAATAAAATAATAAAGAAAAAAAATATTTGTCAGAAGTGGGATTCGAACCCACGCCCTCAGAGAGGACCAGAACGCTCGCACACACCCTTCTGCGAAGGGTAAGACATTTCGCCTTGAGTCTGGCGCCTTAGACCGCTCGGCCATCCTGACATGTTACGAACGGAGGCGCCAAAGCGTACCCATAACCTACAACCGCAGATCGGAATGAAATCGGGGTGGGAAAACAACACAGGGGTGGATTGTTAACTTCTGCCACTGCAATGATGATGATGATAATGATGATGGAGCGGTGGGGAAAAAAGCAATACCGCAAACACACATTTTCACACCCGTCCGGCGTCGAATGTCTGGCAGCTATTTATAGATGGGCCCCACTCTTTCGACTCTCGCTCTCGCAAAGCTCGCGTGTGTGCTTTTGGTGGGGGGACGTGGAGGAAGTGGCACTTTAATGGCCGCATTGCATACTTTCAGGCAAAAGTTAAATTTAACGACAAATCAAGTGCAGCCCAGGCCCCGGGTCGATCAAAAATGCTGAAAAACTCATATAATTACTTGCCATTTGGGCAGATGACTTTCGTTATACATTAATCCGGTCCAGGATCTGTGAAGGACAACCCAAGCCCCGGCTCCTGGCTGACAGGCCGGTGGGCAGGCAGACAAAGAGCAACTTTGGCCAAGTCAATTCAATTTCAATTTATCAAATGCTTCAGCAATTTCTCTAATTGAATTTCGTTTCATTTGGCGGAGCATAATTTATAAAATATAACATTTCAATGCCGCTCTCGGGGCGCAGGGACAAAAGGAGCTCCGTTCGGAAATCCCGCCTCTTATTGATGCCATTCACTCAGCCCGAAAAGAGCTCCGGCTCTCTAATCCATTGTACGGAAAGGACCAAGGTCCTTCGGTCCGGCCATAACGTAATCATCGTGAGCGCATTCCGCATTCGCCTGCGATAAGTTTGCTTATAAATCACAAATGTCCGACAGCAAGGACTAAAGATGCGCGCAGGCTTTTAAATCGATGAGCACATCGCCGGATTGACAATAATATTTTAAAAATAATTTTATTATTTCATTCAGCCGGGCACTCATGCAGACACACAAGGAAAATTAGATGGCCGTTGGAATGGGGATTTAAAACTGGCGAACAGGAGATGGGAGATCTTTGGAACTTGGAGCTTCACTGATGGAACAGTGACCGGTCATGCGTGAATGTAAACGCAGCTCGGAACCACTCAAGAGGCAATAATACAAATTTAAACTTTTCTTTGCTTCCTCGTCCTCTTTAATTAAACGACAAAAAACTCGAAATCTAATTGTGTTTGTCTTTATACTAATATTCAAAGGAGAAACGCTTCGCTTTAGGCCCGGGGCCAGAGTTTATCGTACTGACCGATGACGTACTTCAGCTTCCGGATGGCCAACTCCACCTGCTCATCGTCAACTTGGTGGTAAAGCACCAGCCGGGCAAAGGCCCAGTCTCGAGCAGAAGCCTTTACCACGATTCCAGCTCCATTTTTGTCAGTCACTCCGGCGGCCAACTCCTCAGGCTCTACGGTACCCAGGCGATTGGCAAACTCACTGGCCTCCAGCTTATGCTGGGTGATCTCTACCAGCAATATGTTGCTCTGCACTGTGTCCAATTCCACGGTAATGTTGGGGCTTTGGAGTTCAAAAATGGCTGTGGGAAAAATCAACAATGATGGAGGCGGTAAAGGATAATTAGGTAGACTTTTACATGCCTTTGGCGATTTTCTTGGTGCGTTCGTGATCTTTGCCCAGCAATGGTACCACCTCGTCCAGAGCCACCAGTCCGGCCACCGCCAGGACACCCACCTGACGCATGCCGCCACCTAAGGCCTTTCGCAAGCGACGAGCCCTGTGTCAGGAGAGGCAGGAAATGTTTTAGAGTACAGAAGGGAAAATACAGACCTAATGACCACTGTGGGGTCCAAAACTCACTCTGCAATGAATTCCTTGGAGCCAACCAATACCGATCCCACCGGGGCCGATAAGCCCTTGCTGAAGCAAATAGAAACGGAGTCAAAGTCCCGACAGATGCGCTCCACGCTGACGCCCAAGGCAGCAGCCGCGTTGAACACTCGCGCCCCGTCCATGTGGAGGGCGATGCGGGCGGAGCCGGTGCCCACGCCTGGCTTGCGCACCAGGGCAGCCAGTTCGTCCAGGAAGGCCAGTGGCACCACCTTGCCACCGCATATATTATGGGTGTTCTCCACCACCACCAGTGAGGTGATGGGTTCGTGTTGGTCCTCGTGCCGGATACGGCGACGCAGCTCCTCCAGACTGAAAGTGCCGTCCTGCGCGTTCTTCAGCGTGGCTAATTGGACGCCGGCCAGGTGCGAGGCTCCACCTAAAGGTGATTAATGAAGATGCCTCCCAGTCAGCGACGAGTGTGCGGTTAGTTGTTTTCTATTTGCTGTTCTCACCTTGCTCGTAGAGAAAGATGTGCGATAAATCGCCGACGAGGGCCTCTGTGCCGCGACGGTGGCAGTGAACCATGACTGTGGGGATTAGGAAAGGAAGCTCTTGAGGCTTTAGAAGGGAAATCAAGGATCTAACCGCCAAATATACACACTCCCAAAACATACAATTCATCTTCTATATAAATGAATTAAAGTTGAACCTGAATACCCAAAAAACTGCCATAAATCCCAGACAGGTGGTCAACTTAAAAATTTAATTTGTTTTTGATTGGACTGGAGTGTTCAAACACTTGTTAAGATAAGGCGTTCAGCAACAAAATTTGATTAATGGTTTTATTTTGTTTTGTAAACGTAAGTGGACTCTAAAATCTTCCGTTGAAAATGAATTAATCTGACAGCACGATAATCACATTCTCATTTTTTCTTATTATTCATTAATCTTGCATCAAGCATTATCGGGCTCACTCATTTTACTTTTCATTGCCGCATTTCAATGAGGAACCCTCGTGAAAAATTAGCACCATCGTCAGTATAAGTGCACTTTCTCCTCTGAATGAAATCCAAACTTCAAATTCCATTAGAAATATTAATTTGAACGAATGCATAAATTACTTGAGATTGCGATGCCCGAAGGTGCTGGCTGCTCCTTTAGCTTCGTACTGCCTGCTCCTCGGGCTATCCTTAGTCCTTTCTTTGCTCGACATTGAATGCCCCCAGAACACGTCCACGTCTAATATTAAAGTCTATAAAAATTAATGTTATGTTTATGGGCGCCCTTAGCCTTTACGATAATGTACCTGATGCATGATATGAGCCCTGCTTTCTTGTTTCACGGCGACTCTCCTTTATTTTTCTGTTGGCTCACCTTTCCACCTTGCCTTTTGTAATCTGAGACTGGCCTCACTTTAAACTAATAAACATAAGCGATTCCCCCGCCCAAACTGGCAGCCAGGCAGCCAGGCAGCTCAAAATGAACTGCTACCCACCGAAAATGAGCTGCCCCGAGCCAGGTTTATTTATGCGCCTACCCTGTATCTTGCCACTCACTTGCTAGTAGATTTCCCATGGTGCCGCTGGGCACAAAGACGCCGGCCTCCTTGCCGAAAATGGACGCTGTCCGCGACTCCAGTTCGTTGACGGTGGGATCCTCGCCGTATACATCATCCCCGACCACGGCGTTGGCCATCCGGGCCCGCATCTGGGCCGTGGGCTGACTAACAGTGTCCGAGCGGAGGTCAACAACGGAGTGGGACATGTTCTGTGGGTGGGCAATGTGGGTTGCAAGTTGATTAGCTTGGGTATTAGCATAAGGTGGGCCATGTTGATTTGCCTTGTTTACGGTCAGTTCCCAATTGAATCGGGCACTCATTTATATAGAGACACGTCAGTTGCAGTGGCTTTCATTACGCCTGATATGGCGGCCAGACCATTGAGGCAGCTCTGCTCTTAAGGCAAGACACATGGACATTGGAATGTGGCAAGATTATATAATCGAACCATTATAAAAACACTTGACATTCGATCTCTACACTTCAGCTCAATTATGTTTAAGAGTTCGATTCAATTGGCCAAACAACAAACCACAGATTCAAATGAAAAAAGTCAATAACCGCACTCACTTTGACAATTAAATTGATAAAGCGACCAAGCAACACAAATCAGACAACGTGCTCGGGTCGGAGCTATCACTAAACTGCCCCCAAGAGCTGCTGAATTTTTATTTATTTCTACCTCCAGCAATGCGAATGTTAGAGAAGAGAATGCTTGAGAGAACGGTTCCCAATAGAGCTGTGATCGAATTCAAGAGAATAATATTTATTATCAGAAGACCAAAAATAAATGCGTTCTCTTTAGAGGGGTAGACATATATTAAAACTTTAAATATTTGAACACTTAAATAACCTAACAGGGGTAATTCAAAATTCATATGAAGAGTATGTTAAATAAATAAGGAAGATATAGCCATCACTGTGGGCCATATTGAGGAAAACCCCATTTTCAAGGGATCCCATCACGAAAAACGGACAAAAAATCTAAAAAATATTTTGTCTCAGGATTTTAATGCAGAATGGTGGAGAATCGATCCAGAAATCGTTAAAGATAATCCGCTTGAGAATCGGATGAGAAATGGGGAAGATATAGCCATCACTGTGGGCCATATAGGGGAAAACCCAATTTTCAGGGGATCCCATCACGAAAAATGGACAAAAAATCTAAAAAATATTTTGTCTCAGGATTTTGATGCAAGATGGTGGAGAAGCGATCCAGAAATCGTTTAAGATACTCCGCTTGAGAATCGGATGAGAATTGGGGAAGATGTAGCCATCACTGTGGGCCATATAGGAGAAAACCCAATTTTCAAGAGATCCCACATTTTCATCATGAAAAATGGACGAAAAATCTGAAAAATATTTTGTCTCAGGATTTTAAAGCAGAATGGTGGAGAACCGATTTAGAAATCGTTTAAGGTACTCCGCTTGGGAATCGGTTAAGAATTGGGGAAAATATAGCCATCACTGTGGACCCTATAGGAGAAAACCTCATTTTCAGGGGACCCATCACCAAAAAGGGACGAAAAATCTAAAAAATATTTTGTCTCAGGATTTTAAAGCAGAATGGTGGAGAATCGATTTAGAAATCGTTTAAGGTACTCCGCTTGGGAATCGGATGAGAATTGGGGAAGATGTAGCCATCACTGTGGGCTATATAGGGGAAAACCACATTTTCAAGGGATCCCACATTTTCATCATGAAAAATGGACGAAAAATCTGAAAAATATTTTGTCTCAGGATTTTAAAGCAGAATGGTGGAGAATCGATATAGAAATCGTTTAAGGTACTCCGCTTGGGAATCGGTTAAGAATTGGGGAAAATATAGCCATCACTGTGGACCCTATAGGAGAAAACCTCATTTTCAGGGGACCCATCACCAAAAAAGGACGAAAAATCTGAAAAATATTTTGTCTCAGGATTTTAAAGCAGAATGGTGGAGAATCGATTTAGAAATCGTTTAAGGTACTCCGCTTGGGAATCGGATGAGAATTGGGGAAGATGTAGCCATCACTGTGGGCCATATAGGGGAAAACCACATTTTCAAGGGATCCCACATTTTCACCATGAAAAATGGACGAAAAATCTGAAAAATATTTTGTCTCAGGATTTTAAAGCAGAATGGTGGAGAATCGATTTAGAAATCGTTTAAGATACTCCGCTTGGGAATCTGTTAAGAATTGGGGAAAATATAGCCATCACTGTGGACCCTATAGGAGAAAACCTCATTTTCAGGGGACCCATCACCAAAAAGGGACGAAAAATGTGAAAAATATTTTGTCTCAGGATTTTAAAGCAGAATGGTGGAGAATCGATTTAGAAATCGTTTAAGGTACTCCGCTTGGGAATCGGATGAGAATTGGGGAAGATATAGCCATCACTGTGGAAAATATAGGGGGAAATCGCATTTTTAAGTGTGTTTTATGTTTACAACTTTCGTATTTTTGAAGATAGAAGCTTGGGACTTTTTCTATGGTTTGTATTCTAATAAATTGGTTTTATAATAAATATTATACCCGCATGGGTATATTAATTGGGCTCAGCCCGAGGTTAGCATTCCTTTTTTGCTTGCCTCTTAAGATAAACAGTTGTACTTACTGTATAGATTAAAAACCTGAAAAGAAATAGGCAAAACTTTGATATTTCTTTGGTACTTTTTTTTTATTAATTACATCAGAAAATTCCACTAAAATTTTACTAATTCTAACACAATTTAGTTGCTTCCGCACACTGCTCACACATCTCAGGGCCAATTAACAAACTAAGCAGGTTCCTGCTCACTCTCAACCATATACAAGGTACAATCGAAAACGGTACAATAATAAAAACAAATTCAACTTATCTAGGTCTTCAATAATATTAATAATTAGTTTTGTTTCTTTCATTTTTAACATTAGTTATTCTTTCGCTTGATTTTATGCGAAATAGATAAGTAAAGTACATGATTTTCGTTGGAACTAATTGGACTAACTAAAGTGACGAATCAATCGACGCACTGTCCACTGGGGTGAAAGTGGAGGAAATGCGTCCTGGAATCGGATAAAGCTACGCCTGATATCGATCATAAAGTAAGGTTAACTTACGAACTAAACTTGCAACAACTTTTTCTTGAGAAGGGTGTGCGGGACGGGTCTGGGGCTGGGGGCTAGGCTGAGGGATATGCTGCATACGGGAAAACTGTATGCACTTAAAAGTTGTAAAAAGTATGAAAAAATTATAAATAAATATTTAGAAAATAGATAAAATTTTTAGTTTTAGTTTTAGTTCTTGTTGTTTATGTTTTATAGTCTTTTGAAGAAGTTTCCTTCTTGTTTTACTTTAGTTTTTACTTTCTCGTCCCGATTTGTTTGCACAACATGTCTTCGTTTACTTTTGGCACCCACTGTATGTCTTTGAAAGTACTTGGTATGATTTCGGGGCTGCTGTGTGTGTGGGAGGTACTCAATTTTCATTGCCAATCTTGACCAGGCCAAGCTCTTCAAGCCGGCCAGCAAACAAAGTACGTGAAAATATAAACATTAGAGTTAATTCATTCTCGGCCTTGGCTCTTTGCTAAATAGCTGGCTTTCTTCTGCTTTCTCCACTCTTTTGTTTTGGGTTTTTGGTATGTGCATGCAAAGCGACAAGGCATCCCTTCACTTAGGACCTTGATCTTTTACAAAGATCGATTGCCACAAACATTAACGCTAATTATTATGGTTTGTTTTTGTTTTTTGTTTTTTCATTAAACACACAAGGACACACAACTAACAGCTAGGGGTTTAAGCTAATGCTCTAGGATGATTTTTTGTTTCACTCGCTGGTCGTCCTCATTGCTATGAGGAGACGTCCGTCTCGGATCCGTCCGTCTCGCCCACCTCTCCCGGCGGATTCCGCTTAATGCAGTCCCGTATGCTTTGCAGGATGATGCCAGTCCGCCGGTCCAGGGCGTCCAAATGCGGCTGCCAGAGCACCGGCCTAATGGGGTCCTGGCTCAACGATTCACTCATCAGCTGCGACAGCGGCTTGGGGCCATTGTGGAATCTGAGGTTTCGTTAAAATAATATTGGATTAAGTATTTGTGGGAAATGTGTAACCATAGCTATGTTAATAAATTATTAACTAAGGTAACAGCCTCATGCTTTTAACTTAATGAATGTTTTTAGATGCTACTCTTAGTTTATTAAAATGGAAGTCATAGTGATACAAAAGCGTGGCTACTTTGATACTAAACGAAATGGTATTTAATTTTTTCTTTAATTTAATATAAATAAATATTAAAGTTCAGCTTTAAGAGCTATTTAAGGAAACTTCAGATTCTAGAAAAAAGTGATTTGATTTGTGTTTTATGATTTGTATACTCACTCTAGCAGCTTGATGAGCGTCGACTTTCGAATAAGGCAGCACTGCAGGACAGGCGCCAGGATGGAGAGCTCATCGTGGTAGGGCCGCCCAAAGCCTCGACCGTGGTCCAAATGCAGGGGGAAGGTCTCGTTGCCGTAGACCCTGCAATGCAAAGAGAACGGAGAAAAATTAGAGTGAATGCGGCAATCAGCCAGCCCCCGGCAGCATAATTGCCTGGTGCAAAGGCAAAGTGGGTAGCTGGTAGTCGGGGCCGTTGTATGGATGCAATCGTTGTAAGCTAGGTTGCCAGCGATGACATCGCCGTAAGCCCAACAAACGCTTTTGCATAACAAACAATTTAGCAGGCAGCCGGGCCAAGTCACCTGGCACCTATACACAGGTTTTACAGACAGGAGGTAACGAAAGGAGGCGGGCAGCCAACAGGCAGGCTGCCATTCTGGCTCCCAGGCCAAAAGCCTCGCATCGATGATGTGGAGCGTCGGCTTACGGAGCTGAGATGCTTTCTCTTGTAAGCCTGTGCAGGCGGGCTGGAAATATCTTTCCGTGGCATTGGCTGTTGCAACTGCGGCTGCTGCTGCCGCCGAGGCTGTGGCTGCTTGGCATGCAGGTGCTGGCATATCCCTGGTAAATGCAGGCGCTTAGCCAGCCGGGGGTGCACACGGGGCGCATACGTAACATTACGTATCGCAACGCCAGCCAAACTCAATGTGCTAAAAGCAGACGGAGTACTGCGAGGCAGGAGGCAGGAAGCCAACAAAGCCATGTGTGCGGAAATAAACCGATCGCATTAGTTTCCATGCCAAGGACACCCTGCTGCCACACACACGCACACATATCCGGCTTAGGCCAAAAGTGCGCAAAACACCCATACTCACTTGAACGTTTCGTAATGATGGCGATCCATGTTGCCAGTGAGAAAATCAAAGACGGCCATGTCCATAAGGTCGTAAAGTCGCCTGCCTTCGTCGTAGGGTGGAATATCTCGGACCTAGGGCGAAAAATTCAATGGAGATGACTTGGTTTGCGGAAAATCAAATGCAGAATTAAGCTGCAGCTGTAAACGTGCGGCCAGCTAGCTGGCGAGCAAAATCTTAATTAAGTCAGCTCCAGTCGCCCCAGCTCCAACCACAACAAAAACATTTGCATTTCAATCGAGTTTAAATGCAAATTAAATAAAAGAAACCGCACTCAAAGTAGCGGAAGGAGCTGAAGCTGAAACAGAAGCTGGAGCTAAAGCAAGGATCCAAGCAATATACATACCAGGGCACAATAATTGGCATCTGTCTCCCATTGGGCCTTCTTCCGTTTGTGATAGGAGCGTCGCCAGGGATGCCGCCACAGCTGTTGGGTAAAATCAGAAGACAGGACACAAAATCAATTCCCATTCCAAGCGAAACATGGCCTGCCACTGTCTCTATCTTAGCGACTGACAGTCGGGTAAAAAGTAAAATGCAAGAATATTAATTTTGCTTTATGGCCCGCCCTCTGGCCCGCCCTTTCACCCCCAGCGAATTCCTGCAACTGCTACTGCAGGCGAAATTAATTTTGCTTAAATTAAATTATTTGCCCAACGCTGGCCAAGGCAGGCAATAAAACTTTTGCAGCGCAAGGCCCCTCCTCGACTTCTTCGGCCACCGCAACTTACCTTCCGTCCCTGGGTTAACGGGTGGCGGTTGGCGGTTGGCGTTTGATTTTTTTTTTTCGGAGCGGGTTGGGGGCAACAATAGCGACAACAACAACAACGACAATAGGAACAGGAACAGGAACATGAACAGGAACAGGAGCGGTAGCGGTCGCGGTAGCAGCAACCGTAACGAAGGGGAGCAGCAACAAAAAATATATATGAAATATATAAAAGAATTAAAAATAATGCTGGCGGGATAGCAGCACACACAAAAATGCATAATAAAAGCTCGGCGCGTTGGCCGCGTCTTTTGCTGAGTGGGCGTGGCAGTGGAGTGTGTAATGACCGGAAGCGGAGGCCGAGGCGAAGTCCCCGGGAGCCATTCCAAGGGGGTCCGGCCCCCCCAAAAGAATGCAGCTGGCGGTGAAAAGCAAAGCAAGGCAAACAGAAAGCACATACAGACACAAGCACGGGCAACGAAAAAAATGCAAACTGAGGAAAAAGCAACAAACTGGAAAAAAAAAACTATAACAAAAGCAAACTTAAAGCAGAGAACTAAGGTAAGTTAACGTTGGCATAGTGACAGCCGACGCGTGGGGGCGTCCGGGGGATTTTGAAAAAGCGCTCTTTAGCCTTTTCTCCCCTGGCTTCGCCTCTGTTACCTTGGCTTAGACCACCTCTAGTCACCAAAAAAAAAACGCATAAATCAAGCAAAATTAAATTTTATAAGAGCAGTGGGCGATGGAAACTGGGCACGAAAAAAAGCAAAAGTAGATAGAATGTGAGGCAAGCAATTTGCAATTTTTGTTAGCAGCGCGTTAAATGCACTTGATAAATTCGTGGAACATGAGACTCCCGGGCAAACGGAAAGAATTTAAGATGCAATGACTTGATGACAAAAATGATGACCGACAAAAAAATGGCAAGCCAGTCAGTTAATTTCAACTGCTAGAAACTGGAACGACTGTTAGTGTCTTATTTTCTTATACTTTGTTTTAATGGCTTATCTCATCCCGCCGTAGATTAACACTTTTGAATGTCAGCTCAAGCCCATGCTAATGATTGTTAAATTAGCGATCTAATGAATAAGTAAAAGTCATTAAATGACCAGGCATTTTTATACGAGTTCCCATAAGCTTAGATTAAAGTGAGACACCAATTAAGAGGGTTGTGTTATGAGGCATTAGAATGAATGATTCCCAGGATTCCCAAAACTAAGCAACACCTCTATTCAACCCTACAGTGGCCAGTTACTTTATTGTTATAATTTAGTTATTCTTTAGATGGGTTCCCTAAGCATTTAACAAGCGTGCAAATCAAATCTGCAACTTAATTAAAATTCTTCAGTTGAAAAAATAATATTTTCTCATTGTTTACATCCTTCCCACATAGCAAGGGAAAATACAAACTTGGCCAGGCTTAAAACAGGATACCAGAAGGGTTTGAAGGTAAAATGGAAAAAAGAATAAACTCTGGGTGGGGAAACGGAGAAAGAAAAATGATCTCTTGTGCATAATTTACAGTTTTGCCTTACGCCAAATCTCAAGTATACACTTAACCATTTTCTACTTGTAAACTGTTTGGAGGGCGAGCCGCAAAAAAAAGGGAAATAAAGAGAATTATTCCTTTGAGGCTCTGGGCAAGGATACTAAAATATATATCTATGTATAAAATAGACTAAAAATAAAATGCCTCTGCTGCGGCAAATCTGTGAGGAACAGATTCAGGGCAAAAAGGATGAGGGATGAGGGACCCATGGCGGTTGGAGCGATGAACCCTTTTATAGCCTTAGAGCCGCAGCTCACAAAACTGAGACAGTCAAGTCCTGGAGTGGACTGGACTGGGCTTTAATTTTTCGGTAATTTGCATTTAAAAGCTGTTGCCGTTGTCCCTTTTTTCCTCGTTTATTTTTTGTGTTTTTCCCCTCGTTGATGGAGTGGACTCTAGAATTTATTAACGCCAGTGACGGAGTTCGGGTTCCTGCATTTTATATTTCATTTTACGCTTTACCAGATGCTGAAGAACTGATACAATATTTTTGCTCTTAATTCCACGGCCAAACGAATGAATGGAATTGGAATAAAGTGCCCCACTGAGGGGAGCTGCGGGGTCCACCGGGCAGGCAAACAAACAAAGGATAAAAAGGCGCATAAAAAAACAACACAAAAATTATGCAAATTAAAAGTGAGTTCGTTTCGTTATTTAAAAATTCCCTCTTACCCCGGCGGCTCTAAGCCCTAAGTGGGTTGTGTTATTTGAAGGCCCCGCGACCCGGGCACTCCCCCAATTAATGGGCTTATGTAGTTCTAGGAACTGACCATCCGCCGGGGCACCCACATTTTTGAGCTCACCTGTTGCGAGCCACACAGCTTACATGCTAAGTAAATAAAGTGATTTGTTATTTGGCCCATGCCCGGCCCATGCCCGGCGCTCGAAATTGGTAATGAAAGCGGGCGGACCACAGCAAAGAAGCGAGCCAGCGAGGAGCATAAATTGTAATCTGGCGCAGTGCTGAAGCTGTCTGTGCATTAATCAAAAACCACTTAGCCAGGTCCACAAACATGCCCAGCATAGCCCCCATTTCCCATTTCCACATTTCCCCATTCCCATGCGTGCCGTTGGATGTGGTAAGCTGGATGTTGGATGTTGATTGTTGGATGGGTGAAGCGTGTGTCGTGGGATCGGGCGACCTAGTAAGGTTCAGCCTGGCGATACATACCTTGCGATTGCCGGACTCGAAGTTGGGCAGGAAGGCGGCAAAGGAGCCCTCCAACATGTCCGGATTGCCGCAAATGGCATGCGAGGTGTCACAATAGTACGAGCACTTGCCATGGAAACATAAATTCAGAGATGGCGAAACAAAGAACGTCTTCAATAAATTCTCCTCGGCAAGTTGATAAATTTCGGTCGTAATGTTGAGTGTACGGCCAGCCACGGGCATGGCACGGCGGAATCCCAGTATCCTGAAACCAAAAAGAGAGGCACAGAAAGGCGGTTAACAAAATCAAAAAAATAAATATAAAAGCAAAATGGGAAAGAGTCGAAGATTATATACTCTAGAAAGGATAATGAAAGGTGGCCACAAATATCTCCAGTTTTATATCCTGCTCCTGACATACTTAGTATCTATGTTGTCTCTCTGTAACTTTTTGACAAAATTACAATACCCTCAGCAAGGATATAAAAAGCGGAAATTATACATGAAATAAAAGAACAACGTAGCAGGGAAACTTTTCTTAATTGGTCGGGGGAATGAAAGAAGCCTGCGTGCGAAACGGAATGCGTAATCAAGAATAAGGAAAATACTTCCAGATTATTGTCAGGGCAACGGTGGAGAAAACTCAAGCACAGCCAGGACAGGAATAATTCCTTGTTTATTTAAGGAAACCTAGGGGAACAACAATTGAGCTAATTGAGTGAAACCCTAGACAGTTCTCTACAGAAATTTTGATCCATCAAAAGTTGGCTCGCCAATATTTTGCCATCACATTCAATATGAAATCCCCGTATATCTCTGCCCCTCTTAAATCTTTTCAAATCTTAAAGGGTTCACATGAGAGGAGATTTATGGCTGGGGGTGTGGTGGCAGACTGACCAGAAAATATTATCGAAATTATTTGGCAACATGAGCAATGGAGAGTGTTCATTGTCTGGGGGTCGGCGGCAGCCTGAGGTCAATGGGAAAATGCGATAAATTTATATCATTCACCGCTCTGCCCCGGCCTCCCTTTCAGCCACTCCATCACTCCGGAGTCGAGACCCCAGGACCCTGCATTAGAGGACTGGCAGCCTGAACTTTGCCAACTCCAGAGGATTGGCCAGCCAATCGACGGGGAAGTTGGCCCGGGAGTTGGGATTTGGCAGTTGGGAGCTGGGAGTTGGCCGGATGAATAGCATGTGCGTGCTTGTGGCAGCCACAACAATTACACAAGTTATGACGCCTTATCTAAATTCAAAAATGAGCCAGTGGGGTGGCGGAGTGAGTGGCAATTAACCTGGCTGTCAAAGTTTTGTCAAACGCAAGCAGCTGCTAACTATGCAGACAATTCGAGTCTAAATTACGCCAGGACATGGCAGTCCACTTGGCCGGGTTAATTAGCCATGAAAAGGTCGTCTCCGTTGGATCTCTCCGTTGGTGCTCGGGATTCAGGCCGGACTCAGGACTCGGGAGTTATGTGACCACATAATTTACATGAGCTGACGCCGCCGCCACAGCTTTTTCCCCTTTTTCTGCGAGTGGCTTGAAAAATATTCTTAAATATCATTTAATGGCGCCATTTGGCCTTGGCCCCTGAACCTTATGTGGGTGTGGGTGTCGGTGTCTCTGTGTGAGAGGGTAAATGTATGGACATTTTTTATTTTATTTGCCTGGCCATCATAAATAATGAACATAAATTGACTGCGGTCTGACCTCAGCATGTGTCCGGGTGTGTGTAAGGATTATTGGGATTCTAATCGCAGAGGGTCAGGCTTCCAAATTGGCAGAAAGTGTTATAAATTTGAATGCTGAATGTTGGCCCAGGGACCGTCCAACATGGCCGACAAATTGGATAATTTGATTGCTTTGTCATGTTCTCTCAAAAAAAAATGAGGAAAGTAATACTTTTCCCCTGTAAAATATGGCTGAGCAATATTTGTAATAATTGTGTACTTGGAATGAAATAAATGCCGAAACGCGCTCCAGGAATTCCTAGAATTTTAATATTTAAAAATACCGTTTCAAGGATTCAACAAATTTTAACCAAGGCCGTCGTCGGCAATTGTCTAATTGAATATTTCAAATTGATTTTACAGAATATTCCCCTTGCATTCCGGTCTGTCTCTGCCTTTGTTGGTGCGGTGGCCGAATCCATTGAATGCACACCATAAATATTTACGTATAATTGAAAATTAAATTAAAAATAAATAACAGTATGCCAGACATTTACACGAAGCTGTGCTGGGACTATCGCCTGGCTGTGCTGATTTAATTCAATCGACCAGACCAGGTCGTTGGATGCCGAACGATTTTCATTGCATAAATAGCCACAACGGAGTTTCTGTGGATGGAACGGCCCCAGGTTAAATTGTAGCAGCTAAAACTCACCTGTCCAGGTGGAAGGCGGCAATCTCGGCGTTGTGGCGCTCGTAGTCCGTGAAGTAGAAATGGTTGGGCAGCGTTTGCTGGTCCCTCGGAAACCTGCGAAAATGTAAATGAGATGTATCAGTACTGGGTGCGGGGATGCAACATAATGAAATGAATAGAAGCTGCGGGCTTCTGTCACCAGCTTAATGCATTTGCATGGGGCCACTTTGAATTTTCCCACGGTACGCAAAGGTGAACCTGCATTGCTACGTGCCAGCTTAATTACTTACACGGTAACGCCAAAGGAAGTGCAAATTAAAATACAAAAAAAAAATACTGACTACATAGTATATATTTAAAAAATAAAAAACGCTTTCATTTAAATTGCAAATGAACGACATTATAAGGACACTTTGCACTTTGCCAGCTGCTCCTGTGGGCAGTTGCAGGGAAACGAGAATCGGAAAAAGTCCCGGGAAATGGTAGGAAAAGGGAGACCAGCACATTGACCAGCAAGCCAACGCGTTTAAATCTCATTAAAAAGTGCATGAATGTTTTAAATTCACGGCTTGCAGCGGCTGGAAGTGCCACCGCAAAACGGCGGCAATGGACGTGGAATTTCCATCGACAGGCCGCACGAAAGTCAGCGAATAAAAAGCGAAATTTTATTTACTCAGATACGCGAAAAGTGTTGTCGACAAGTGGGCAAAAGTTGCATTCATTACGGTTCTGGGTCCTCTGCCGGTTCTGGCAAAAAAAAAGTTTCAGGACAAATGCATTAAGCGGCGACAGACTGAGAAATCTTCCTCGTTGGTGGCCAGTCCTCTGGCGAACTTACCGCATCGGCTTCATTAAGGCCTTGATATCGTTCGGGTACTCAATGATCAATTTCAGCTGGGTGCCACCCTCCTTTTGGACTGCGAAGGACATGCAGAGAAAACACAGAGAAATGAATGTAAATTAATCAAGCACTCGAAATTAATTGAAGCAAAAACCGAATTCATGGAATTCGCACTCCAACGATCACCGTCTGCAATCGGCTTTTAAATTGTTGCTGCTACGGCTGCTCCTGCTTCTGGCCAGAAGACCAGAGTGCATAAACAAATTACACTCGACTAAATACCAATTAAAATGCATTCAAATAGCCCTAGAAAAAAAAAAGAGGAAAACACACAAATATTGCGTATACGCAACCGCACAAAGGAGCCCAGCACAGTTCTCCTTTGGCTTGCCTCGGTTTCAGATTGTGAAGTGAACTGAACTGAACATTTTGATCATTTTGATGCAAAAACAGACAAAAGCTGGGCTCTCGGACCGACTGTGAACGAAACAAAACCGAATATCCTGCCGCAAACAGACCGCATTTCATTAAAATTCATTTTAAAACAAACACTATTAAAGGGGCGTGTGGGAATCGAGAGGCGGAATCTGGCCCATAATACTCGTATATATGAATTATGTCTTGAAAGTTTCTCTAAGGCCCAAGCCATGCATGTAAGCCTCTGTGTCCGTGCTTGTGTGTCGGGGCGAGTGTGTTAGGAGAAGTTTCTGTGTACGCGGCGTATACGTGATAAATGCCTGCCACACAAAGCCAAAGCCAAAGTTGCAGCAATTTTGTTGCCACAGTGTCATTGTTGCACTCCTTTCTCGCTCTCCCCCTTCTTCTTATTTTCCCTTAACTGCAAATGAGTTTTCTTTTTGTCGCTGCGAGCGGCCCTGGCGCTGTTAAAAGTTTATTATTAATAAATTATGAGTTTAATGAATGCGCTGGAAAAAGTTTGCAATGAAAATAGTTTCGTAGCGGCACCTCAATAATACCAGCCGCTAAGGCTCTACATAATTGAGTTAAATGTGCATCTGAGTCCCGGATCTGGAATCCAGCCGAGTCCTGCTCCCTCATACAACAAACTTTAGCCGTGCAGACTGGGCCGACGGGTGCGACCGGTTCAACCGGGCTAACCGAGCCCAACGGGCAGACCGGTGTATTTATGACTTTACAATCCCGCAAAACGGAAGCAGACTGTCTTACCAACATGCTGTATTGGCAGCTTGATCATGTCACGTAGCACCGCATCCACCAGGGTGTCCTGCTCGCCGTAGAGCTCCTTCTTCGTGATGCGCAATTGGAAGCGCTCCAAATTGCTGGCATTTACACTGCAAAGACATGGAAGTGGAGATGGCATCAGATAGAGTTTGAAAGGGCGGCCAAAGAGAAGCAAGATGGTCGATAGATAGAATGTAAGTAAGAATCGAAAGCCAGCTGTCGTTGGCAGGCTAAGGGAAAGCATCCATAAGGACAATCAGCCAGAGACCGAGCCACAGCCAGAGCCAGGACTGAGGAACTGTTGCCAACAGGAGTGCTCTTTTTGGATTCCCTCATAAGTATGCCATGCTTTGGGGCTGCATATCAAGATTTCTCACATTGATTTGTCAAAGCAATGCACATCCTGTCGCTCTTACACCGCTGTCATGACAATTTGGTTTGCAAATGCCAAGACATTTTGTTCCCCCAACCACTTCCCATTCTCCAGTTTAGTATCAGCTGTAATCTTTGGTGGTCGATTTTTCTTGCTACTGCCAGACTGGCAATTGTCGGAAAATATCTTTTCCTCTCCGATTATGCTTTGGTCCCCTTTTGACATGTGCCGCTCACATGGCAAATGCTTTTGTCTTAAGCTCTTTGCAGTTACGCTTTCAGATTTAGTCCAATTTGTGCTGGTTTGAGCTCTGCCAGAATTTAAGCTGCAAAGTGCCATGCTCTCGTAGCTCGTATCTCGTATCGTTTGGCATTGCAATGCAGACAACATATTATCCCAGTTGCAGCAGAAGCAAAACCATAAGCACCAGCTAAAGAAGCACCAGTCATGACAAATTGAAATGCAAAACCCTGTGCCCTGAATCCGAGATGCGCTCCCATTGGTCAGCAGGACAAAATGAGGAATGAATAAGTAGCAGCAGTGGCGGTGGTGTCTGTTCCATTGTGCATCGAGTTTATCACGATAATGAAGTCATATCCGTTTCCCCCCCATGGCTGCTCTCAATGGCGTCTACATAACTCATTCCTAGCCCTGGTATCCTGGTATCCTGTTCTCCTGCTCGGTCATAATTTGCCCGTTGACGGCTGTTATACTTCAGCGCTTAACGCTTTTTATGCTGCCTACGTCTGGGTCTTTCTAACCCCGTCGTTGCCTTTTGGCTTTTGTGCACAGGAAGGAAACAAATGTCTGGCAGCCAACCTTCTTGTGCCCCGAATGACTTTCAATATTTCAGCGTTTTATGGAAATGGTGACAACTTCCTGACTGCCACCTCCGCTTAGCAATGAGTCCACCCGGCTGCCACCTTCTCACCTCAGAATTCAGCTCGAGTTTAGTCTCGACGAAGGCAGGGTTTAAAGTGCCGTCAAGGCCTAAGAGGACTCGCAATCAGGCGGCAATTGTCCTGAGCTGGGATGGCGGCCACAGGCCCAAGGAAGAGCCAACGAAATTGAAAAGGGTTCAGTCAGCTTCACGTGCTACTCGGTGACAAGGATATCAGGAAAGGACAACCGCCCACGTCCTCTATTTTTGCCCTCAAACACAGGTTTCTAATACCAGAATTTTCTAAGCCAAAATCGATTTCAGGTTAATGAATGTTTGCCAAAGTCCTTAATAGATCTCAGAATTTATTTTTGCAGTGTGCCTCGAAGTATGCTGCTCCGAAACGTTAGCATACCAAAGTCAAATTTCAGCTCATGTTTCATTTGTCAACTGTGGTGGTGGTGGCGTAACCGAGCCAACAGCCAAAGGCATCCGCAGCAGCAGGAGCTGCCGCCCACACAGCATCCTCCGCAGCAACAGCCGGAGTTGCGTAATTGATGAAGCCCGATCTGGCCGATCCGGACATTGACTAAGCACTGGCCGCTGTCCACAGCGGCTATACTATACACACTGTGTGTGTGCGAGCGTGTGTGTTTTGCGGTTAGCAGCGGCTTGGCTCGAAGGCTTGTAAATGCTTGGCCAATAGCTTTGGCCAGCTGTTGCACTTTTTGGGTTTTGGGGCCAGCAAACGGAAGCATCGGCAAAAACGGGGCGAGAGAATAAAAATGGAAAAATGGTAAAACAAAGCGGTGGCCGAACCAAATTCAAATCCCTTTTGGTAATTGAGTCACGTAAATCAGTTGCAGCGGCCGCCAGTCAACAAAAATCCAAAATCGCATTACAAGAGAAAGTGAAGGCGATGTCTGAAGCGCAGGGTGGTGTGTGGGTCGGGCCGAGGAAACGGCCAGCGCGATGGGTTTTAGCATGTTGCACGCCAAAAGCGCACGTGACGCGTGGTCCACCATCACACACGCAGCGGAAACATATACACTCTTGGCAGCCCAAACCCACACCCAACCCCAAACCCACCCACCTAAACACACAGACAAACGCTGACAACCGCAGTGACAGCCAGCCCCCTCCCAACCTGCCACCCCCCGTTCGCTACCCACGCCAGTGGTCTAAGCCAAGCGCAAAACTTTGTTATGCAAAGCGTTGACAACTCAACGACGTTGACAACAACGTACCGCAGCAAGAACAGAAACGTTGCAAAAAAAAAATTATTGAAAAGGAGATTTTCATATAATTGGTACTACCACCATCCCCGGCAACGCCCCAGCCATGGCAGGACTACCACCCGCGCTGCCCGCTTGGCAGCTGCACGTTCCTGGCGGTTACTTGCGTCAAAAGTTTACTTTGAGTTATGTTTAGCGGAAATTAAATTTATTTATGTCAGCGGAGGCGGGGGCAGATGCTGGCGGAAGAGCTCCGCTGAATGACGCTCACTAATCAGCTTAATTGCGCTCGGTTTGACGATTTGACAGGACCCGCAAGTGCTGCGTCCTTAGACCTGAGCAGCAATTGCCATGGTGATGGACAGGAATAACTTTAGTTACAGCAAGTTGTTTTAAAGTTATTTTAAAATACATTGTTAGTTATATGTGCCAGTATCACAAAAAAATCACAAGCAAAGTTAATCAAGGATACATCTCTCTTGATAGGGAAACCTTAAACCCATATCATTATTGTTTAAAACTAGAAGCTTCCTTTGTAGTCCCTGACCGAAATAACTAATTAATGCTATATTAACTTTCAGTTACCACAAAATTCAAGTACGTCCTGAGTAATTCTGCGCTGGTGGGAAAACTTTCAGCGCCCTGGATTATGACTGGCCGAGTGACTTGCTTTCACTTGTTGTTCCAGGTCCTACTCCTGCTGCTGGTCCTGATCCTAGTCCTGCCTCCCACTCCTGCTGCTGCCATTGTTATTGCTGTTATCCTCGGTGTTATACCGCTGGCCGAAGTGGGTACTATAATAACAGCTGTCAGCCGGCATGTCCTGGCCTTTGCTTAAGCCCGACTGCCATCCCCGCTCTCCGGCCCCCTGGAAACTTCTTCCTGGGACCTGTCCCCACCCTACTTCCCGGCAGCCCGCAATTATTTCGCCATAAGAAAATGTCAGTAAACTTTTGCCGGCACAGCTCAGTTTTCCCCGTGCAGCTGCGACCAGGCCACCGCAGCCGCAGAGCCGCAAGAGTGCTGCTTAGATAGACAAAAAGGAATCCAGGACTCTAAGAGGGGCGACCCAACGGGTGGTGGCGGGTATAGATGAAAACTTTGTGCGTGTGAAATTTTGCGGCCGGCACGACCAAAGCAGAGCCATCCAATGGACAGACAAGGACTGCAGCCTCGCACCCGACACTTTTGAGTCGAGTTCGCGGAATAAACTCGACGGAGAAAGAAAGTGAAATTAAACTTATATTGTAGCAAGGATAAAACTTTGGCGGCAAGAGCGCGAACATTAAAACCAATGACAGCAAACCAACTGCAGCTGGGATCAGACCCAGAGCCAGAGCCAGAGCCCAGCTCCAAGGGGCGGGGCCAGTGTGGAAAACTTCGCTTTTCCTTCGCCGAAATGTCAGCAAGCTCTCTCGGAGTTTTACACACTCGTCGACATTGAGCATAGTCTTTTATTACTAAGCGCATTCTCATCCTCCCAGTCCGGACTCCCGAGCTAGCTGCCCGGAGCCTGGAGTCCGCCATTCGCAATCCGCAATCCGCAACCCAAGAATCCTTTCCATCCTGACCGACAGCTGGTAAAACTTCTCCTGTTTCTCCATTTCACTTCGTCGGGTGTAATTCGCTCGAAATAAGATTTTTGTTCTGCTACCTCCCGCTAGTCTGTCCGTCTGCCCGGCATTCGCAATTGCGGGCTAATTAAAAATTTGTCATACTAATTAAACGCAAGCCAACGAAGGACACAGTCACGACCCCGGGACTTGGGGCTGAATCAGCGCCAGTTTGTCGTAATTATATCCCCGGCTAATGTCGGACAGGCTTTTGTATTATAGTCGCTTCCGTGAGCACCTGACTCTTCAACGGCCGCTGGCAATATCTCATCTTGTAATTTTAGGAGCATTTGCATTTTGTCACATTTTTTTCCGCCATTTGCAGCTGCAACTACCTGAGCTGTGTTGCATACTCTGCGGCGTCACAAAAGTGCTGACTAGACCTCAGCGGATGAAAGATAGAACACAAAAGACTACTTTAGGCATATGTATGAGGAGGTGCTCTGGGAGCTACAGGATTTAAATGAGATGTTGTCAGGCGGAAGGGGTATCCTTCAACCTTAACTATCAATAGTCTAAGAACCTTTCTTTAAAGAAGATATCTATCTATCTATTGATCTTTAAAAGGTCAAGTGCAAAAGTTAATTTGATTTCTTAACTCGCAGAAAACATAATTCTTTTCTGCTGACAATACTTTTAAATAAATTTACCAGCCACAACACCATCCACAACCAAGGTAACAAAAAGGATCCACCCACCAGCGTGGGAGCTTTTCTTTTTTTATCCTCACATACTAACATTTACTGGCAGCAATTTTGCTTGTTAATGAAATTTGCATTTTGCTACGTGCGACACACAAAAAAGTAGCAAACTTTCCGGCTTGGGTTTCGGTGATGTGCTATAAATTAGAAAATCAAGCATTTTATGCTAATGCCGACGCCCACACTTGGCTTGGCTTACTCAGACAACAGCCACCCACACCCACCTGATGCCGCTTCGGATGCCGCTTCTGCTGCACCAAAACACGAAAAAAAAAGAAGCCAAAAGCAAGTTGAGTTTGACAAGTTTTTGCCACTTTGCATTTTCCCCATTCTCGGCTTACGCCCCAACTTGGCCCTCCAACCAATTTTTGTGCAACTTCAGCTGGGGCAACGCTCTTGCCAACTATTGAAGCAAATGAAATTACTCATACGCTACGTATTCAATTTTGATAAAAACTGCCAAAACGATTTGGAGTGAACAGAAGCTCCGGCATCGCTTTCTTGAGTGTCTGTTCATTGTAAAAGCAAACGGAATTCTCTGGAATGGAATTGGGGCGGTTGTCGGGTAGGAACCGCTTTCGCCGTAGGAGGAAAAATGGAGAAAACTAAGCTGATTACCGGGAAAGAAAATCAAATGAAAACTCGTCGAAATAAATTTCATTGCTGCCTCAAGTAAACGGGAAGAGCAGCCCGCACTCCCCAAAAAGGACGAAAGCAAACGGAAAGATTCCAGAAACGGTAACGGAGATAACCGATAACCGGCGAGGGGAGGCTGCTGGGTGGTGGTGCTGCAAATCCACATTGATTTCTTTATTGCAGTTTTATTTGATTGTGCTCGCATGAAATTACGCATACGCCATGTTGAGACAAGGCACACTCTCATCAGTGTTATCGGCTGGTGGCATCCGGAAGTGGAGGCGGCTGAGGGTTGCCCGAAAAATGGTTGCCAGAGGCAACAACAATCAGGCAACACTTACCAGCGACAGATAGAGACATGCACATAAAGATCTTGGCCCGAAGGAAGGGGGCGCCTAAATGTCTAAAACGTAAATGTGTCACGTAAATGGAGCGTAAATTTCAATAAAAATCATTTCAATTCCATTGAAGCCCGAAAGTGCCGTAACGTCTCCTAGCACTCCTTTTCGTTTTCCCCGTCCTCCCACCTCCCACTTAACCCAATGTTCTACTATCAATTATCGAGTTCCCGGCTAAAGTGGCCCAATACCAGGTAAAAACTGTAAGCGTTATGTCCTTCCGCTAAGAGGAAATTGAATTTTTTCGGTCTTGATTTTGATACCCGACTTCGGTGGAAAGTGTTGTAAACTTTTTAAATTGCATTTAAGAAAGGTTGGATATTTAATCTTAAGGAGATATAGATTTTTAACAATAATTTAATCCTTAAAATAACCATTATTTTGAACTCACCTGGCTTTGCGGTGCAGAATCTCGGCCAGTGAAGGATTTTCTCTGCCTACATCTGGCTTATTGTCCACAATCACGTGAGAGTACTCGTCCGTCAGGAGATGCTTCTCCAGATCCACATACCGATCGTGCGGCGTGGGCTTCCTGGTGGGTGCACTGGATCCCGTGCCGGGTCCAGCTGCGCCGCCCGAGGCTCCCGCTGCTCCATCCTGGCCACTGGTCGCCCCGCCGCTCTGACTGGCCGCCGCCTGGGTGGAAGCCTCCTTGGACCCTGAAGAGTTGCTGTCAAGGACGAAATGGAGAGAGAGAGAGAGGGAGGAGAAACCGGAAAATGCGTTAAAAGGAGCTACATAAAAGTGAGTTTAAAAAATACCATAATTAGCAACGAGCCGAGGGTCGACGGGAGTACTTGACAATGGCCAACGGGTGCTCTCGTTGCTAATTGCAACTGCCAAGTGCCCGGGACTGGCTTTTAGTGGCAGCCATCGAGCAGCAGCCGAGCAGGTAAGTGCCTCTGGCCAAGCTTCTAAAGACACGCACTTGCCGGTAAGCTGAAACTTTGTCAGCCCGAGTTTAGTTACGTTTATCTAAGACGACTATCCACCCACACACTCTACGCGGCCCACCCGGCTCCCAGCCCAGACACACATGGGGCTCTTCACCCGACTGCAATAAACTGAAATTGCAGGTACTTCAATGGGCCCCAGGTACACTCTATATGTGCGACATGTCTCCGGTTGCTGCACAGTGGCAGGATACCAATAAATTGTATCTAATGGATAGGATCTGCAGATAAACGTGTGGGAGTATATTTCATGACCCCGAAATGAATTGGTTTAAAATAGGTTAATAGGTTTGTGGGTTTAATATTAAGGTTGTATATTAAAACTTAACCATTTATTATATTCCTAAATTAATTTAAACAGGTGAAGCAATAGAAACTGAGTTTTTATGACCCACTGTGTCCGTTTGCTGTGGTAATCAGCTGCCTACCGTTTAGACAGCGCATGCTTCAGACAAAAAGAGTCCTTGAAAGATGAATTAAAGTTTCTAAATTTGTTGCATCCATTTGCGTTAGCCTTGACTCTTAACTGCGCTTGGCGAAACGCTTAAGATGTAACCTTTAGCCTGCCTGGAGACCAGCTCGTTAGCATGCATCCTGTGCTGGGAAAAAAGAGTCCTAGTCGAAGGTGGACCGGAATTATGTGGCTTGGCAGAGGATGTTGTGTGACCATTAAGCCAAATGACGAGCTCTTCACTCGAGCGCACATCATTAGGCCCAAAAACCCAAATTGCCAAAGTAAAATGTGGTTTTTAAATTTCTTAATTGTTGCACAAGTTACGACGGAGTGTTCGACGGAGAAAGTGCTAACGGTATCACCTTCTGGCAGGATGGTTTATCCGTCAACCCGTCGGTGCGACATGTGTGCACCTGTGTCGGCAGAATGCAAAACTTTTTCAATTAACAGTTGCCAGCCAACGTCTGAGCCAAGACAGAAGATAGGCAGCTTACAGTCGAGAATGGCAAGAAGCGGCAAACAATTTCTCGGGAAGCTGAGAAGCTGTCAACATTCCTTCCCGCAAGGGGATGACACAATATCTAGCTGGCAAAGCCGCTTTCACCCTGCCCGGGGGCTTATTAAGAATTTTCCGCCATAACGAGCTTGTGCAGATTTCACGCGTTTTATTGGCAGCCGCATAATGCCACTTTATGTGCTAATAAGTATTTAAATCTTCCTTTGTACCGCCCCCAGCCATGGGCCACCAGTCACGAGCCCCCAGCCAGCGTAAAGTGTTCTTGTATGCTTATTTATGGGACTCCGGGCCCATTCAAAATTGATTCCGCCACAGTGCCCTGTGCAGATACTTATGCCGTGCCACACTCTACGCTGTTTTGTTCCCATTTCGGTTGCAGTGATCGATGTGGCGTGCACTTAATTACACTTTGGCGAAACTTTGCTCATTAAATTGTCACGTGGTGTGCGTAACGCTGCCCACATAAGCTGGCCATGTTCTGCGGTTAATTAACCAGTCAACTGCAACTGCAATGGCCAAATAGACGGGGCACGACTTTGAACAACAAATGCATTAGCCACAGGATCATAGTCCATGCCGGTGGTCGATACCAGTGACACTTGCACGTTGCTTCTGGCATGAGTTAATGGATTTCGTGGAGTTTTAATGAGATTTTCATAAGGTAGACTCGTTGCTTATCTTGGGTCTTCTATTTTCAGTTTAAAGCTTTAGAGAGCTTCTACAAACAGTTTACTATCTTAAGTGGAATCGAAGTTAAAGCTTGTTATCAGTCTTGGCATATTTGTTTAAATTTTATAGAAAATTGGCGCCTCGATAATAATCCAAAGAACTTGTTAGTAGAAGCTTGGAATTTTATCGCATTTTGATGGATTTCTTATCTAGCTTAATGGAAGTCTGTTTATGTTTATGCAATAGCCTCTTGGGTGCCGAGCTGCGCTTACAACATCGCCAAGTGTCTGCCACAGTTTTCAGTTTTTAATGAAATAATTAAAAAATTATAAAGCAAACTGTCGGGGAGACAAGACAGGAAAGCGGGGCGCAGGCTCTGAAGACAAAGTCGGGCAAACATTTGATGCTTAAATAGAATTTATTACGCTTCACAGCCATGTTGCACGACTCAGTGCATGGGGGCATCATAATTTTGCATTGGCCCGTTCGCATAAGCAGATACCAGTTATGGCAGCCACTATGGGTTGAGCTATGGGGACATTAGGGGCGAAGGCATCCTGCGGAGTAGCAAATACGGGAAAGCGGTTTCCGAAGGCATTCATTTTACGGGCTGGTGGCAGGCGGCTTATGAATTAATTAAATATTTACTGGCTAAACATTGGCGTTTTATGTTCCCGGAATGGAGCGGAACGGAACGTAACCAGACGGGATGAAATGGATCGAGAGCGGGACGGGGCCCGAAGTCGTTTGCTGCACCTGGGAAAAGTACCAGGAGCCCGAGCAGGAGCAGGAGCCGAAGCAGGCCAGAGATCGAAGACCCGGGAAGGATGGTCTTAACAGTTTCCCTTGCGCCTTGCTGCGTCATTTTGATGTTTTATTACTCGACTTCCGCCAGCCGCAGCAAAATGGCGGACGACACCCCGAGGAACTCCCCCGGTTCAACACCCACTCCCTACCCTACTGTGCCTTAGCCGCACGCAACTCAGCGGCCCAAAGAGGCAAAATGGTAAAAAATTAAAAAGTTAGAAAAAAAATATGAAGTGCACAAAGGTAAAGGTAAAAGCGACTTGGCCTCTTAGTCTGTATATATTCTATGGCAAGGCATTAACATGCTTCTGGCTCCAGTTTTTGCTCCAACTCTTTCTTGTAGTTTCCCAGAACTTGGCCGGGGGTCTGGGTTTATGTTTCGCAGCAAATTACGTTTTAATGCCGGGCCCAACCGAGTTTTATTGCAACTTTTGTTGCATTTCTGCTAAATTGAATTATGTACACTGCCGTGTTCGGTGTGCCTGCCTAGGAGCGGTGGGCCAAGACCCGGCTCTGACCAAGATTTGGCGGGGGTGTCGTCAGAGTTGGGTGTTGTTTGCGATTTGTGCATAATTTTTAATCCCTCGAAATGGCCAGAGGTGGCCTGCTTGGTTTTGTACAAAATAAAAATTTCAAGATGCTTTTCTTCTAATTGGGAGCTTAACCTAAAGCAGGATGAAAACACAGCTATTATGGATTGTGTCATACAAGTTAAATCATTCTCCAATGGGAGTTAAGAGGTTTTTAGATCCTTTGGGGCCAAGAAGTACTGTTTTCATTTTCTTAAAATACCTCATTTACTCTGACAAGGTGAGTTTCCATTTCAGCACTTGCACCTAAGCATCGTTGCCTCCTAACCCACGCATATTGATTAATGAGGGATCATCGGCAATAGATGGGATGGATTTCGAACATAATGGGGTCGTGTATCGCAAACTCACCTCTTTTGCAGAAATTTGCGTTTGAACTCGTGCAGTATGCCGCCGCCTCCACCTGCCCCCGTGGCGTCGTAATCACTGCCCAGACGGATCTTCTGGTGCTGTTGCTGCTGCATCAGGTGGCGGTTGGCCACCCCGAAATCCATCTGCACGTCCACGATTAGCAGCAGGGTGAGCAGGACAAGAGTGGCGCCCAGACTAATGACCAGGCGCTCCTTGAGCTTCATAGTGCGCAGGACGGCCATGATGGGATTAGTGTGGCAGCTCTCGCCGCTGGCACTGGCTGTGTGATTGTTGCCGCTGCTGCTGCGAGTGGCACTACCTACTCCTCCACCTGCCTCGACGGTGGCCCGATTTTTCCTGTTGCTGGTCCCGAAACTGTGAAGTCGGGTTAGCCAGTTGGGGGTATTCCCAGTGCCGGCTAAAGTAGCCTTATCAACGCTGCTCTTGACACCAAAATCAGTATCGATGGCAGTGTTACCGTCGGTGGTGGTGTTGGTGGTGTGGTTGCTGTCTGCGGTGGTGGTGTTATTACCACAACGATTAGTGCGCACAATGCGCCTTCTGATCACCACTCGACGACGAGGCTGCTGCTCCTCTTCCTCCGGCTCCGAGTCTGGGTATAGCACTCGATCCGGTGGCAGAAGCTCCTCCGGCTCCGCCGATGCCCCAACCTCGACTGAGGTGACCCCCTCGAATGGCGCTCGTTGCCAATTGGCTACGCCTATTTGTTCAGCTGATAAATGGCCAGTATTGTGGGCACTATCGCTGTAGTCGATATCAGCGGACTGCAGTTGCAATTGCTGGCGGTATCGGAACCGCTGCAGCCGCTCTGCCAACGGCGTTGATTGCCCGGCCGCCGGACGATAGCTGAAAATAAAAAATCATAGTTAGAAGAATTCCATTAGTTAGCGAATCAGAACACCAGGGCTGTGTTAGTCATATCCATAAAAAATTCAATTAAGCTATAAGCTATTAAAATTTTATTCCCAGACTCCATTGAACTTAAAAAATTCCCTAAAAATGCTCTTTAAAATCGTATTTTTTATGGTACTTTAATTAACACGTATTTCTTTACGCTCCGGTGCGTTTTATCATATTTTTCAAAGACCGTAATGATGTCAACAAATGGTAATTAATATTATTATTAGTTTGTGTGGTAAAATATTTTACGATGCTACTCCTGCAGCCATAAAAAGCTGGCAAAATATGCACCTTTGTTATTATTTTTGTAGTTCATATTTTGTGTCTGGTTGTGTTCGGAAAGCGGCGTCGGCAGCGGCGTCACGGCATCCGCTATGTTGACTGGCACCGGAAATGCGACAGCAGCCATTTTTTTTTTTGTTCTTTGCCTTGCCGGCCACTGTTATCGCTCTATCCTGGTGCATGTTTGTTGGTGTTCCAGCTACTATTGCTGGTGCCATCAAGTTGCCTGTTGTAGTTCTATTTTATTGTCTCTATTTTTTCATTGTTCATGTTTTTTGCTGGCCCACGTAAACGGGCCGGCACAGAGCATGAAGCATATTTTTCATGCAGCACGTTACCAGTTGCCGTTGCTGGTTCTGAGCCCCGGCCAGTCGGAATTTGAATTGTAACTACAACAGGAAGACCTGGCTGGTACCAGGATCAGCAATACCAACAGAAATGGGAATGGGATAGAAATTGGTATAGAAGTAGTAGCATGCCTCTTGCAAAGTGGCCGTTGTCTGTTTGGACGGGTGGCAAGTTAAGCTTGTTGTTGTTGCCACATGAAGAGTCAACACGGGCCCAGACCAAAAATTGTGGGCGAAATGTTGAATTGCCCCTGGCAACGGCCGAGCAATGTTTCCTTCTAACGGAATTAAATGTGGCCAAAATAAACGATACTCCATCTGCACTGGAATCAGAGTGGTCGCATTACAAACATTTTCATAAAAAAATTCATAAATTTAAAAGGTTTTTTCAATCATTTGTAATCAAAAGTTTAATCGTTTGAAATGGAAAATAAACCAATTCACATGTAATCACATTTGGCTTCATTCGCTCTCAGTGTTGTCGGCTTAAGCTGCAAATTGAATGCAAGGTCCTTTGATTGACAGGCTTACCATGTCCTTACTGCCATGGATGGGAGATTCAACCATTTGATATTGCTGACGTAATCGAATGAAACTTGCACTCGCTTCGCAAATTAAACGTCAAATTCTGCAGCTTGTAGGCAAAAATTGCTGATTACAAGCCAAGTCGAATTCCAGATAGATGATGGGAATAAAATGACAGATACGGCACCAAATTGGCAAACAAAAGGCACCCAAAATGTTTGAGAAGCAGCCCCGTCAATCAAAGCACATATCATGCCAATTTTCTATGCAGGTCTCCGCCTCCGCCCCCTCTAACAATTGCTCATATCCATGACGAGTTGATTTGACAGTCACAGAGTCGGAGGGGGCGTGTTTGGAAGGGTTAAGGCCAGCCAGGGGGAGGGGTCTTATGGTGGTCGGGTGGGAGGATAAATCTGGATACACAAGGAACCCATCAGATGAGATTCCTAGCAACACAATGGAGCCTTTCGCCGACATCGGCGTTGGCAACATCAATGGGCAGTCAAATGCAAAGCACATACGTAATCCGGCGAGACGCTACAACGAGGTGCGGGCAGGGAATGCGGCTGAAAAGCGTCATGTACACGAGTATTCCCTATCAGCCGGTGAGTGCGATAAGCGCAGGCTGGCTGGCTGGCTGACGGGCTGGCTAACTGACTGCCTGACTGGATGCCAGAAGCAACGACACTGACATGGCAAGTGTGAGAAGCAATTGCTGTCGTCGCACTTTGCTGTTGTTGCTTGATAAAATTGCTGCGTTGCATTAAATTAAACTCATGCGGTGTATTTAAACGCCGCATCGTCGAGGGCCCCAAGTCAGCTGAGAGAAGGGTAACAGCTACAGCAACATCAAGGCATCGGTTTAATGCAATTGCTGACAACAGCAACAGCAACTACAGCCATGCCAGTGAGTGACAGCAATTTCCTCTCCAATTTGCGCATTGTTTTTATTAATCAGACATATAGAAGAAACACAAAAAACAAAAAACAAAACAAGCCAAAAGAAAGCCACATTAAGGCGAAATGCTCTGGGGGGCAATAAAGTGCAAAATAATTTAAAAAGCAAGATCATGATGAATGGTCTGGCGAGAAACAGAGAAAGATTAATAATCTTTTAGATTAAAAATGCTCTTCTTATTATTCTGAGAAAGACACAGACAAAAGAAGCTTTGTATTAAGGTTACAAAGTGCCATAGATTCTAATATATAAAAAGATAAAAAATATATAGAATTTTTATTGAGGCCATATATGCTGGCATGCCGTATTATCAACAAAATACTATATATCAGAAAAAAAATGCCATCATAAATTATATAAATATTATTATCACCTTGGAGTCTATTCTCAAACAAACAAGGTTTTATTTATTCTTGTAGAAGGTACAAGAATTATAAATTATTTACCTTCAAATTCATACTTTTTTTTTAAAGAAACTGTAACCTGATCTACAATCTAAGTGGACTATCGGCGGCGAGGGCAATAAATCAAATTCACTTTCAATCAAACTTGACTAATGCCTTTCTCCGGCTCAATTAGCCTTCGGCGGTCACTGAACTTGGCTTGTTAGTCTGTAGTCTGTAGTATTATATATTTTTTTTTTGTATTTCTGTAGCTCAGTTCGTCTTCCCCACCGATATGCCATGCATGATTGCATTCGGCCGGGGATGGCGGAGGTTGGGGGAGACCAGTGCCCCTCGCCGCTCTAGCGCCTTTCAACTTAAAGTCGAACGAAATGCGTAACCCGCTCGCAGCTCGGAAAGCTTGGCTCAAATCAAATCAACGATTGTGCAACAGCTTGAAATGACACGCTTAATGCATTCCCCTCCCTGCGAGTGACCCAGCTTTCCTTCGGTGCCACGCATCACTGCAGTTTGAGAATTCCGCTGGCCAGAGTTCGTTACAGTGGGGGTTTCTGACAAAAGACCCGACTTATTGATCGATCTGTTGCCACACTATTATGGGGGGGTTTTCAACAACATCTACAACAAAAAGAAGCTAAAGAATGGCAAGCAATACCAGTCAGCAGCTCGCCTTATCGACCCAATCGAACAAGCAATCAATCGAGACTGCAATTCGATATGCAAATGACGGACAAACTGTTGCAGAAAGCAAAAAAGCAGAATGCTCAGGGTGTCAAGGTTAGTTTGGCTTACACATTTGGCTCATTTACATGGCCGCCAATCGCATCCAATCCTCTGTGACAGCCGAAGCGCTAAACTTGGGCAAATTGGGGGGCGTTCAAGGAATTCGCAACTCGCAGGAAAATGGGAAATAGAAAAGCTAAACGCTGTCGGGTTAGTTTCGCCATTCCGGCTTCGCTACGCTTTTGCTTTGCTTTGCTTGGGCTTTGCTTTTGGCTGGTCCTTTGTCAATTTACCTTTGGCTGTGCAAACTTTCGCGCTGCTCCGAGTCCAAATCCCATTGCTTATAATCGTCCTCCCGGTCCCAGTCGTCTCTCGTCCCAGAAAATCCTCCTTGCCGGCTTCTGCTGCTTTGCAGGTGATTCAATGGCAGCGATTTCTCAGCAGATTTGCCCCAGGTCATTTCATTACCAAAGCCAACAGAAATGTCCTGTTCCGGCTCCGGCTCTAGCTCCTGCTCCTGGTCCGGCTCCTGCTGCAGCTCCTGCTCATACTCCTGCTGTAGCTCCTGCTGCCTCAGTTCGTAGTCATGATGTTCGTTGTTAATAAAATTTTCCAGCTGGCTCGTTGACTTCCAGTTTTTCCTCATTGCCAATTCAAATGCACTCTGATGCCAGCCATTGTCGGCCTGCCTGGGAATACGACGAGGAGGCGGGCTAGGACCCCAATCGTTATTGTCCTGGCCATTGTATTGTTTCACTGCCGATTGATTCGTAGTCATTGCCAATTGATTTATGCCCAAGGCGGCTCTTGGCTGGTAATCATCGAATCCATTCCCATTGCTCCAGCCGGCCAGTTTCCCGGTGGAGCGTCGCAGCTGCTGCTGTGGCTCTGGTTCTGGTTCTGGTTGTGGCACTGCTTTTGGGCTTTGAACCTGGCCACCCACATCCTGGCTGCCGATTCTTTGGAGCGAAAAGCTGCTCTGGCTCCTTTGGCGGGCTTCCTTTTTCTTGGCCAACTGCGAAGCTGAGGGGGCAAAGAGCTGGCGGAGGCTGGCATTCCGCTGACTCACGTCCACTTCGCTCCCGCTTGACTTAACCTGGATCGATGGTTGGGTGGGAGAAACTCGTAATTGTGAAAACGAAAACTCTTTTCCCCGTTTCGATTGAGGTTTTTTCGGGGAAAACGCTAAAAATAGGGCGCTGGGGTGGAGAGGAGGAGAAGAAGGGGCGCTCCTCCTATCAAATCATGCTCAAGCAATCTTTCGGGTTAGTAGAATTCAACGAGGGGAGAACAATTGTTATCTTAGTGCCAAACCAACAATAATTTAAGCCATCAACGTAACGCAACTCAACTGAATTCAAGGATATTGCTGAGGACAATGCTCGGTCAACTCGGCGCCCTTTCATAATCGGATGAAAACATTTGTGGAGTGCTACTTACACTCGTCCTCGAGGCAAGTGACATTGAATGAAGCGGACTCGAGGAGGCCAACTACGACTAGGACTCTTCTTCCTTCTTCTCCTACTCCTGCCTTCCAGGGGGTCATCAAGTGGATGTGGAGCGCTTTCCTGCCTGCGATTTTTTTCTCGCTTTTCTCAAAGCCGGATGAGTCTATTCAAGGGTGCATGTGTGTGTGAAAACACTCCCACACAGCCTCAGCCACTGCCTCTGCCACACAAAGGAGACACTGGCTCCAACAAACACCCACACACTAAAGAGGAGGAATGAAAAGCTGAGAGAAAGCATGAAAATTTGAAACGTTAGACAGATTAGCATAAGCGGATAATTCTGAGCAGAACACAGCAACAGAAACAACCAGGCTAAAAAGCAGAGCGGCGTCCACAACGAGAAATGGACAGCATGTGTGAAACGTTTAAGTGCTGATACTAGACCATTAACAAGGAGTCTGAGTGGGGGTTGCTAGGTGGAATGGTTGGGTAGTTGTATGGTTGGATAGCACTTTCTGCACTTCTTTCGCTTCGACGGTAAACCAAAAATGCGAGAAGAAAAAATTTCAGCAATATCTTGGAGCACAGATATTTCTTGTTTACCAAATACCAACAGCCAGTCACAGATGCAAATTCGTGGCGCCACCGAAGAGGAAATATGGCAGTCAAACGATTCTCGACTATGTTAGATGCATATTTTTATGTTTGCTCTCTGGCAAAAGGCAACAGGGCGTATGAGCAATGCCACCGAAACGCAAAGGAAGTTAGACTTTAAATTTTTTGAAATGAAACTTAAAGTGCATCCTACACTAGGTGTCCCTGTTGTTTTTGGCCACCCATTTCCCGTGGAAATCCGTTTTCCCTTGTTGATCCTGTTCACGAATCCTTGCATCTCTTCTCGCCCGCTCCTTGGCATTGACAGTTTTCAGCTGCATGTGTTGCGGCAAGATAGGAATACTTTCAATTTTTCCTCAAACGACTCGTGTGTGTGTGTGGTTTTTCAGCCAAAATAATCAAAAGTGGTTGGGGACACACACATCCACAGGAGACAAGGATGGCTGAAGGAGAAGATTTCCTATCCTAGGCAGCGTTACATCTGTTTTGTTTGTTTTGAGCGAAGCAGGACAGAAGATAGTGCAAGTGGGACAGAGCCATCTCACAAAAAATTGCATGTCATGTGAAATTACTTGTTTGCCAAAGAGGAACGGGCTAGTAGCTGGGGAGCAGGAAACAGGAATGTTAAAGGGAATGGATATGGTATAGAGATTGGAATGACAACTGCAACTCACGTACCCTCACGCAGATGCATAGAAACACACACTGACATACACATAGATAAATAAGGAAGCTGCAACAACAATAGTCATGAGGGTCCTGGCTGAGACTTTGATATATTCGCAGACGACACTTCGATCTGCCGGGATATGCGGCTAAGCACGATAAATTGAGATGAATGTCTGGCACGCAGCTAAGTCTCTACAGCTATCTGTCCATATATCTATCTATCCATCTATATATCCATCCGGACCAGCTCAATGCAAGTCATCTTATGCTCTCCGCACTTGACACATTCCGGGGAAAGTGCATTTGCCTGTTGGCTGTCTATCTATCTCCTGCTCCTGATTTTTGGGATAAAAAAAGGAAACTATTCTCCTGGCTTGCACGCACTTCATCGCCCTCCGTCTAGACGCAACGAGTCCCAGTGTGGCAGCTATAAATTTTTGAAAATGTATTCCATTACATATGGCCCATAAAAATCCACTCCCACTCAGAGCCATTCTCATTCTCATTTCCATTCCCAGATCCGAATCCCAATCCCGATCTCGACAAGAGCTTTGCCTTCGACTCTTGCCTCGGAAAGGGACAGGGTCTGGGGCGCTGGCTAGGGACCATTAAAATGCGACACGCATTGGGCCTGCAATGCCATTGCATTGCACTGTGTTGCATAATTTAAGGCGCGGGGAAGTGAGCCGGAAAGTTGCCATAAAATATTCATTTAAAATGCAGCACGCAACACTTTGCAATGACGCATAGCCAGTGCGCCACCCAGCGACCACCACTGAGCCACCATCGAACCACCGACCCACCACCATCACCCACCACCCACGCATTTAATTGCGGGCGTTGCAAATGCAAATGTCACAGCCGAGAAAGCCGAGTGAGCTGGCCAAATTTGCATGCCGATGACAAGGCTCAACTGGACGTCTGGCCATCCAGCTGGGAGAGTGCGAAAAACAAGGCCTAATCCCACACTCGGAAAATAATTTCTCAGCTCCCATGTTTAAGTTCTATTAAAGAAAAAAACATTTACTAATCAGGGCTTTCAAAATATACTCCTAAAACTAAATTTTTAAATCAACTATTTGTGTGCTTTTTGGGGAACTTTTTTCCAGTGACTGCAGGCTGAGTGACGGAATGGGAAAATAACAGACAGGCGGACAGACAGACAGGCACGACACGTGCCAGTTTGCTTATGTGTGTTTGTTTGGGGCGGCTCTGGAGAAGCGTAACAATCCAAACTGGCAAACAATCAACTAATAACACACAAACTTACCCAGTTGAAAAGGGAGGCCGAGCCGGAGACTTTGGGAATTCGTCAACTGTAAGAAAAGGCAGAAGGACATTTTGATTAGCATTCCTGGATGATAAATGAGCATTTACAATATCAAATAGCAAATGGCAAATGAAAATGAAAATCAAATCACTTTGCATAATCAATGCCGGGAGCAGTAAATGAATTGTTAACCGAAGAGACAAGCCATTTGCGTGAAAATTAGATTGAAAGACAACAAATGACAGAAATGGAGCAGCAATTTCAATTAAATTGCAGCGCGTCGACGTTAAATCGAAGTCCTTGCAAATCATTGGCCGTGCTTAAAGATTGATTGTATCCTCGTCGGGCTGTTGCCTGCCATGACGTTGCATCTGAGACTGGGCTAGCCCCAAAGAAGCCCGATAATGCAAAAAGGTTGTAGGCGAAACAAAAGCGTTCGATACGTTCAGTTTTCGACATTTCAGATGGAAGATGATACGATGACTGTGCTTATCTGGCGTCTGTTGTCTGTCGGCATGATAATCAGCCTCACATTAACACACATTGAAAGATTTAAGAGGAAAATCAAGTAAGATATCCCTCATCGGCCATCCCAGCCATCAATTGCAGTGCGATCCATTAAAATTATGTGCAATTATCCAATTCACTCAACTATTGCATCGTCGTTGTCATGATTGGTTTACCAGCATTACTTTTATTTTTGTTCGGTTTTTTGTTTTTTCTTCTAAAGAAAAAAAACAAAAGGAAAATTATTGCCCAGAGGGCCAAGCAGCTAGCCAGATAGCCAGCTATTTAGCCCGGCCAGGCCAAGCTCACGTTTTCATAGATTATGAGGCGCTCTGGACGGAGCTGCAGTCTCCCGAGTACTGCTCGTTTCGCAATCGAAAATCCAAGCAAGCCCAGTAGGAAAACCAGCCCAGTTGAAAAACAACAACTGACGAAAAAAGGGAAATTTTCACGGTGCTCACGTAATTGAATTGCAGTCGGCTAAATTGGCATTTATTATAATAAAAGCAAATATGCAATTTCGCTTTCAACTCGCCAGGAAAATAAATAAACGAAACGATAACCCAACGGCTTCGAAGAGATTTGAGAGGGGTGGAACTAAGTGGACGAATAAGAAACTTATTAAATAATAAAAGTAGACTACTCTGGATGGAAAAACTCTCAAGTTCATTGAGAGCCCGAGGAAGCTGGTCTTTAATGCCATAAAGTAGATTGAAACTGGATTTAAGCACACAGACAGGCGCACCCGGCTGACCTACATTGCTGGTTTATTTATATTTATTCTGTTCTATTGAGCTACACTCGCCCACAAATCAACCGCAAAGAAATTCCATTTAAATAAATTATTTTACAATATGAAACCGCAGCAAAAAAATGAAAATAGTAAACCCAAACAATCAGGTAAACATCCCAGATAAATATGCGAAAGGATAAAAGGAGCAAGCGGTGAGTGCATTGAAAATGAGCAAATTAATCATATAAATATTTTAAAGTACTCATAGAACTGAATGCCAAAAACAGAGCATAAGCCGGACTTGTGTGCGAAATAATTAATTCACATATTAATATTAGTTTAGTGTGTATAAATATTTTCACCACAGAAATCTATTGCCATTGTTCAAATTTTATTTCATTATAGAGCTGTGACTCGTATAATAGGATTCCCACAGCCCCACCACGTCGATTTATGTATTTAAATTTTGCATCCAACCCCGCCCAGCCCGCAAGGAGCAACAAAAACCGCCCAATGATCATTTTAAGCTACAATATCGAAATTAAACTTAATCGCCTTTACCCGGTTTTCCGGACTTTCCATCTCGCTTTGGCTCTCTCTGATTTTCCAGCTGAATATCTAGCATTCAATTTGTAATTTTCTAATTATGTGGTTGAACATTTTGGTGTATTGAAAGCAATTACGCTAAATAATTGCACATTCCCGTTGCGTGTATTTGGCGAATGAAATGGGGATGGGTGGCCATCCTAAACCGCTTCTAGTCAGCCCTTGACTAGGTGATGGGTTTCCCAGCATAGTTGCATACCCTACCCTTTAAGCTTTGGAATGCTTAAGTCTTCAAAAATAAATTCTGGGAAATAAATCTAGACTTTTGTTTTCAAAGAATTTGTTTATTATTTATTTTTAAAAAGACCATGAGTAATGAGAATGTATGGCAATTCGCGGACTTATTTTTATCTCATACATTTTTGAGGTTGCCCACGAGTAACCTTTAATCTCTTAATTCCATTAAAGCTTTCAAAGCTATTTTAGAAATTTATTTAAATGAAAGAATATTGAAATAAATGTCTTTTTTTTCCTAGAAAGAGTATGGTCATGCGACTAAGACTGAATTTCACTTCCTCTCCTAATCACAACGTCGCCGGTTTTGAATCGAAATGGCAAGGAAATAAAAGAGGAGGGCCTTGGGTGCTGGGAGGCTGGGAGTGTTGATGGGGCTCCAATTCCACAGTTAACGTCGAGCTCCAAATCATTTTGCTGAGCGCCAAACAATTTCCG